ACAGAACTTGAAGCTGACTGATTATATTTAAGATATTTTTTACTTAAACCGTGTTAACACGGCATCAAAACAATAAATGAAACTAAATTGCTCGTAAACTACAAACGAATGTGCATTGGATAAATTTCTGTGTGAAAACTTGCATTGAAGAAAGGAATTTGCCTCGGGACGTAATGTTTCTTTGAAGCAAAACAACAAACTTTTTTCTGATCAATTTTCTCACGTTTATATTTTGTGCTAATGAAACATCTCTTAAAGTATTCACAAGATTTCCTTGGAGCGTTTACTAAATCAACAAACAGGCTCTTAGCGCAGAGTGCTTTTACGAATTGATGTTTATACAGAAAATATCGAGAACGGATGCATTTTAAGGGCACGTCATTCGCGAGTATATAACTGTTGGTAAGACAAGCACTTCACAATGTATACACCAATATACCTTTCATTTCCTGTCATTGCCTGCGTTGCTGAATTTGTGGATAAATATAACTGCGCTGGGGGATCAGTGGAGGTATATAGGAGGTGAGGGGATGTTACGGGTCGCGTAGCTATGAAATAAGGAACCGCAGGGGTACTGTAAAGACAGGCTGGACACTTTTCGCTTATACTAAAGAGTTGAATCGCGCAAGTTAAATCATTGAAGATGTACTAAAGCATGCATGATTCCACCAGAACATGTTTCTTACAGTAGTTAGAAAGTTTCTATACTACGTATTAATTCAAAATGATAATTGAAACTGAGGAATTTAGGGGAAATACTAGACTGTTTGAAGCCAGTATAACTTCTAATGAAGGTAATATATAAAGTCCATAGATAGCAACCACCACAGCAATTACAAGACTTTCGACCTAAGGATATATATTGTGTATATGTTTAACGTGAGAAGACAAAACACACTGACTTAATTAAGATAAGTGCATGAATATCGTTTTACGTTTTGGCGAGATTTTGGCTTTTGGCAGCCTTACAGCCAAGGTTATCCTACATTAAAGATTGTTTATACTTTAGAAAGTGCGTCATCTGGTAGTTTACTTATATTATCTCTGCACAGGTATAAAAATAGGACTTTAAAACTGACCTTCCAAGAAGTGCTTGGGGGAATTCCTAGCGGGGATTATATGTTAGAACTTCCAACGACAGGGCTATAAATCTGTTAAGACAAATGATGTTTCCTAGAAGAGTTTTCTATCCATAACTTTCACGGATCTTAAATTCGGACCTCATCTGATGAACTGCCGGAAACTGCACCAAGGCTTTATTTTCACTGGCTAGATCATGCCGCATGAAGTTTTTACAATCACCTTTTATCCTTTCTTTATTCAATCAACACTTTAAATTGTGCGTGGTGAACGTGAATGCCTTTTGCTTCTTGATAATGGTCGTTATTAACACTGGCACAGGTGAAAACCTCTTTTAGGCGAGGCGATAGTGATTAACTCTACATTACCGCCTCTTAACGAGGCATCTGCAAGCATCTGAATGTCCATTTACATCGAAAAGGAATAAGATGAATAGATTGATGTCTTGAAAGATGAAACAATGAAAAATCACGAGTACATATATTTTTTGTATTCTGATTCCACTCTAAATACAGCTAAAATCTCACCACGAAATTGTGGTGTTGTCCCTGAGCTGATATCTCGAGTTTGCAGGATGTTTTTCGGGATATTTTTTTTCTTATGCATTTAAAATATAGCTACATCTAGAACATTCGTTGTGTGGATAATAAAGACCGGATCAATCAACCTATTTCAACCTTGTAGAATTAAACTCAAGATTATATATCCATATTTGTAAGTCTTGTTTGCAAAATATCGTTTGAAAGCTTATACTCCGTGAGTGTTTAAATCTATGATGTGAATGAATGTTTGTCTAATGATGAGTTGCACAATTAGGAAATGTATCTTCCCGCATACCAGGTTTTTTCCTATTGTGATGTTTTTTTTTGTATATATGATGATTGATACCCATCGCATTTATTAGGACGGCGTGCATATTTGCCCGAGAATATTTAGGAAATAAAAGAAATTGATAAAATTCATCTCAGCTTTCTGTGAAGATGAAGTTCTTTCCAATGATTTTATGGAGAGGAAGTTATATTTTCAGTTTTGGATTCCATGGCCTGGTTAAGAAAGCAAAAATGGATAAATATATATACCATTGTTCGAATGATCAGTGGTTTTGCTTGAGAATTGAACAGGCTTCGATAAAGCGCGTGTATTCTGGTAGTTTTAAAATACCGTAGTTCAGGGCGAAGAGATTAGGCCTGGGGATAATAAGCGGGGTTATTATAAACAGTTCGGGTGCTCGACCTCACTTTGTGAAATATTTGTGACATATTTGGCAGTTGCAATATAGCGCACGTCTTTTCAGAGTGGTGCGAGCTACAATGGTAGCGTTCTCGAGGCCAACCACCCCCCTGTTGACATTTTTACCTCTAGAAAAAAATCAGGATTTTCAGTAAAGTGCGACCCAAGTCGTGAAATACCACAAATTTTGAAAACAATTGAGTTGTGACTCCTCCCCTGCAACTGAAGATGGGTCAAGTGTAGATACGTCAGAACGAGGTCAATATTCTCATAGTTTGTGATATTTTTTTTCCTTTATCAATCAGCCCGCACGTTTAAGAAAACACACTTTAATAAAAGAGCTAGATTAATGGATCTCACGAAAGCAAAATAAACGATAGCAATACCTCATCGCTTTCATTAATGATGTATTAAAATAACTTTCTCGTCAAAACTGGAACCGGATTTGAAAGTAATTAGTTTCCTGAATTAGCATTTTGTGCGCGAAAAAAACGAATATTCAGTGGTAGGAAAATAAAAGTTGATAAGATTTGGTGGGTTTTCACGGCTGAGGGCAATTCTTCCCGCTTACCAGACGAAAACAAGAGCAACGCAAAAAATGTCGGGGCAAAAAGGTCAAGGCGAGTTAAGGTCAAGGTATGATTCGTAAACGCATTTTCGTGGCCTAAAGGTGAGGATGATACTAGGTGTGTGTGAGATGGCGACCATGAAAAAAGGATTAATTTTGTTCAAAATGAACGTCATGTCTGGCAATAAGGTAGCGTAGAAAATACTGGATACTTATGAAAGGCCGAATTGAGCTTGAAATACTTTTCTAAGGGCAGTGGAAATACTCTTTCTAAAATCATGGAGAGACTAAAGAAAATGATGACTCATCATGGAAAGACTAAAGGTGTTTCAACGTTTTCTAACATATCGTCAATGATAATGGCCTCTCGTCTCGTTGCCCTAAAGTTATCCTTCCTTATTCCTTCCGTAGAATTGTATGATTATTTGGTTCACAAGGATTTGGGACAGAAATTTATGTTCATATTGATCATGCAGCTGTCTGTTGAAAAAATCATTCAGTCGAAAAAATCCTAGATCCTCCTTCCTCAATCAGCCCACGTCTTTAAGCTACGCCCTGGATTGTCTGGTTAGCCCAACTAAAAATGGCAGAATATTTAGGAACAGGATAGGATTAAATCGAAACACGTTTGCTAAAGAATGTCAATATTTATAGAAAGTGTTAAAAAAAACTCGACTACGAGTCAAAACAAACATAGCCTGTCATTCCTTAACGTGATTTCAGCAAAACATTCAAACACAATTTGCCAGCGGCCCTGGAGGAAATGTACTGCTTGTTTGGCGGAAAAACTTCACGATTGTTTTGAACGAGGCTAAATAAAGAATTCCTTGAATGATATGTTGTGGATACTTCGTGGTCAGTGTCATTCTTTGTGAGGTCAATGGGTCTTGTTAGGCTTTTTCGCACATAAGAACGACAATAATCGTTCAACTTTGTTATCAATCGATTCTCACCTTGTGCTGCGCGACACACCCTCGTTTTCTGTGACACTCTTCTCGAAACTCCCCCCAGCACCCCTCAGAGCAACGCGTAGTTTGCGAGGGCCCCGTAAACAATCCTTACCTGAAACACCGGGTATTCAATTGCAGGAATTCAAAACACCATTACGTTTATGTATAACACCAAGTAGTGAATAGGAACGCTTCCGCTGGTAAAACGTATAACGTAATCACCCGCTTTCGGCAAACATTTGAGAGCATTAACCAAGGTGTGTCAGTGTTGTGAATAGCGCGCTCATGTCGGTTTAACTTATCTAAATGGATCATCATATCATAAATCTTTAGACTTCACTCAATCAGTTTTCAACTTTGATTGCTAGTTAGACTCACGGGTAGAATTGGCAAGCTACTCAGTCGAGAAACTAAGAATTAGCATACTTTGCGGTTGGTTTTTATTCGCTTAATCGTTTGCGCATGGGCACTTAAAAACAGCTGCGTAGACAAAACAGCTTCAGTCCACTCGTTTTTTTGATATCACATCCCTGGATCACTGAAGAATGTTTTGATATCTTGTGTCTTAAGTGCTAGCAAAGGTATTTCGTTTCTTTGTTTACCTTCGGAAGCAAAATAGCCAAATTGATATTGACGATAATAAAAAAAGCACACCGGATGGATTGCATCCACTAGATTATAAACTTTATAAGATCAATAGCACTTAGGATAAGTGCTCCTCAAGGAATTGTGCACGAGTTCTAGATTTTGATATGATGATGTCAAATACGATACAACCGATACTGCTCCACTTATATTGATACATTATAGCGCGAACCAGGGCATAACAATGAAATTCAACACTGTACAGTTCAACTACAAAGAAATTCCTCTCTCTAAGCGCTCAACCTAAACACACAGGTTCACATTGATTTCAGTACAGCCTGGTAAAAGCTAGCTCTAACGCGTCTTAATTCGTTGCACCTCGTAATTAATCGTAAGGCGTCACTTCCAGTATGATTTTATTTGGTTTTTGTAGATATTATTACAAAGAATTACGATCTAAAAGTTGAATTGTGTGTTAGACAAGAAACACACTACTATTGTGTACAGTACAAGTATTCATCTTGACTTGTCAGGCCTGCGGCCCAGTTACCGAGATTTAACGAAGCGTAAGATGGACTTTGAGGTATTGGAAAGAGTCTTTTTGAAACAAAACATCACATGCTATTGTTAGGATGATCACACGACTGTCAGAGTCGTGTTATTTACTCATTTCAATACCTCAAAGTCCATTTTAAGCTTTGTGAAATCTCGGTAACCGGGCTCGCATGGACAGCCACAAAATGGAATGAATATAAATCTCATGAGAGTTTTAATGTTGTCAAATATCATCTTATCTTGCGATAGTTTAAAAGGCGGGGACCTCGAAATCTACATGTGAAAATCCTACATAATCGATGTTGATCCTAGATCGTGAACTTTAGAACCAGGTTTGTGAGGACAAGCAGAGCCTGATTGATATGGAATATGACTTTCACTTAACACTAGTAACCCGCGGAATGAAGAGTGAAGACCGTTCGTTTTTTAAACTGAACAAAATGGAACCATCTCATCTCTTCCTGTCCTGGCTTTGCGAGAACTCTTCTTCACTGCAGACAAATCCCACCCTGCTAACAATGCATTGATGTACACGGGCAGTTGATCATGCTACATGAGGTCGTAGGAATTTCAGTTTGCATGTGATGTGTGCTAGCCAGGCGATGAAAACTAAACGCATCTCGTCTCTTTCCTTCATCGTGGTACAGCACCTTCACGGCGACCGTCTTAGCTGTGATCGGTGGACAGCTCACCGCGGCGACCAGCTGACGGCGTTTTGTTTTGTACCTTCGATTCTGAAACCAAATTTTCACTTGATTCTCGGTGAGTTTCAACATGGCCGCCAGACCAGCACGCTCAGGCCCAGAGAGGTACTTCTGTTGGCTAAACCGTCGCTCCAACTCGAAAACCTGCCCGTGAGAAAACGCGGCGCGGGATCTTTTCTTGCGCAATTTCGGTCTCGCCGGTGAACTCGGGTTGTTGACGTTTTTCGCTGGCTCTGTTTTGTCGCGATGGCTTGAAATACCTGTAACAGGAATATTTATGATAGATGTGTTTTTCTTTCGTTATCTTCTCATCAAAAACGATTTCTGTTTTGACAAATGGGGTTATAATCTTCACGAAACAGGTGGGATATTTGCAGCGCCATGTTAGTGCAATGTGCAATCTTGATTTTACCAAACTTATAGCCAATTAATTCATCAATATTTCAACCAATATTCAAGCGAATTTTGAGGGTTATTTAAATGATCTACAAGGGCTATAGCACTAACCGCTCGCATTACCAAACCATAATTATTTATACGCAAGTCTGTCCACTTTCTAGAAGCATCTGCAACGATTATCAACCTTATTTTAAAATTTTCGTAAATTCTAGCGGTTTTAAAGGGTCTTAATTTCGAGTGGAATTATACACACTTCAAATTCAAGCCAGGAGCAGTTGATGGAAAAATGAATCAACTATAGGTCCTCCAACAGGAATCGAACCTACGCTTTTGCGATGCCGGTGCAATGCTTTTGCTTATTTTCAAATTCTAGTAAACCTTTTCTAAATAGGCGAGACTTTCAGTGAAAATATCTGCCTTTCACGAGCTTGCAGGTTTAACTTTAGCGAACGCACTATTCTGCAGACTTATATAATAGATACATCGGTTGAATTCCTGAAATTAAATTTTTCTAGCCCTCTCAATGTGGTTTAAAAATCGATTAATTCGGGTTGGTAATTCTACCGAGAACTCGCCACGTTACTGGCAGATTTTAGTGGTCACTTTCGTACAATGAGTTTATCTTGCAATAACATATACTGCAGTTCCCTTATTCAGAAAAATAACTTATCGTAGTGTGTTCTTTTAAAAAAACGTACTCATTTTCTTCATGGCTTTTTATGTGCATGGTCTTCTATATAGATTGGAATCAAGAAAACCAGTGTCAAACTTCGCATGTTATCTGACCTGTCATCCGAAACACCTGCTTCGTGTCAGGTATGTTATTTCAACGATCAGTTAGCAAACAATTCCAACATTAACAATACCCGCGGTGATAATATCTTAGAGATAATTTAAAGGTGATCATATTTAAGCTTTGCCGAGCAAGGAAATCTCAAGAATTCTCGCTTAAATGTCACTCGAAGCAGGTTTTCACGTAAAAAATAATTATCCTCAGGGCTTGATCAAACTGGGGAATATCTGTGTGGGAGCTCTTGACTAGGATCTAGTCACTTCCACACAGAAGAAACTCGGTCAGGCCGAGTTTAAGGTTGTTTCTGTGAGTGACAAACAGCCATGCGAGGATACTCATAAAGGGCTGAATAATGACTGTATTGATTGGCTTTTGGTTAAATCAGAACCAATTTGCTTGTCAAAATTAGTCGAATGAATGTTGCGCAAGCTTTGACATTCTGCAAAATCATATATGAGATGAGCTGAAAGCTTTTCTTGTGGAATTCAGGGAACGGAAATTTCGTTCAAATATTTTGCTTCGGCAGCAAAAAACTATATTGCTGCTTTAGAAGTGATTTGATTCGAATCAGTTTGCGCAAATAGCTGAGCTTATGCTTCGATATATACAGCGATATGAAATGATTTAAGCTTACCAAATCGAATCAAATTTCTTATCTTCGTTTTTCACGATGGAGGTTCTCCTTAATCTTAGAGGGTCTTATAAGGGCGTGTTTGCTCTGATCAACCTAAGTACATCGATCAGAGAACCTGCTGGAGCCCACTGCGTTAATCCAAATTGTTGAAAAGTGGCATTTTCTATATAATCTTCTAAAGTGGAGTTAGGCTTTAAAAGCCGGTTAGCAATGATTGCGCTGCAAATCTTGTGGATATAACTCTATAAGATAATTCCGATTTAATCTTAATTCTGGTTTCCTTGAGACCGTCAAAACGTTTCTATACATCATCAATACAGCGTTTTGCGCAGGGTTCATGTTTGAATGACAATTGTTAGACTAGCTTAGGGGGAAATCTCCTCAAGCAACATGGCGGCTGTGTGAAAACAAAACTATATGCCTGAAAATTCGTGTCGAAATAACGCTTGTTTGTCCAAGAAAGTTCCTCATACGAGATGAAATCAAAGGCATATCGTATCTGTTCGTAACTGTTTAATGAAATGCACAATTTGTGTTAGGATAAGCTTGGTATAATGTAAGTGACACATACTTCATGACGAGATAAATATGCTATCATTACTTACACCCCAAAGGCTGTTTTTCCAAGGCAAATAAACTTGAAGCGAACAAGACAGGTAGTGCACTTGCCTATATATCTTTACCGATATCATGTTTTCTTAAATGGTTGTCGAATTGAACGAGAATTCTGTTCGCCTAAGTATTCTTATCGCGGCTTTCATTAATAGCAGAATATCCTTTTAATGCGACCAAATTTTAATAAATATATACATCCGATAAATACATGCATTACTATACTGGAAAGCTATTCAGATATTCCGGATCTCAGTTGAAGATAACAGGACCGACAAAAAGTAGATCACTGTGCGATATTATTCTTGATATCTCAGTGAAAGAGAAGCAGTGTTTATATGAAGGAAGTAGGCCATTCAGTCGCAGGAAGTGTCAAAACTGTTCACAGCACAAACAACGGCAGTTTAACATTAGGAAATCAAATTTCTAAGTGTTATATTAATCGAAGTCGAGCTATATTTAACTTCTCGTTTATCGAACTCAAGGTGTATGTAACATGCGCAGGCAAACACACAAAGTATAGGCTTCTTTATACTTTAAAAGTCTAAATCATATAGCCACAACGATAAAGAGCGAATGGAAATACATGTTTTCATTAAGAGATCATACTTATTACTTTTGCTGGCATGATTCCTATCTATTTCCTTCTTTTTATCAGAATTTAGAGATTTAGATCCTTACAATGTAAGACTTACAGAGTTATCTGTTAAGAAGCTGGTGTATACTGACGCGCTAAGTTCTGGTTTACAGAATCATTTGCAGAATATCATATTTTCAATTCGTTTTATAACTCTTTTGAGCCATAATGTTGTGACTAGTTAGTGTTATAACTTGATTACAAAGCTATTTCAGCAAAGAAATAAACTTGAATTCGCTTGGTTATATGGATTGAGTGCTATATATATTAAACTGACTATGGTATTCGTGGAAACACTGAAATGTATATTTCTGTATGATGTGTTGCGATGCGCAATCACTCAGTTAGACTTGCTCTCAAATGTTTGGTTTATCATTTGAACTACAGACTTGTATCTCCTACGATGTAAAAGCAGTAAAGTAAATTCTTTGGTTTGTATGGGTGAAGCAATAAACATATATTGCCAGAAGTCCAAAAGAGCTCGCAGTTTTAAGGCAAAATTGTCATTTAACTTAGATACAATACAATTGTATACAGAAAGCGTGTCCAGGCTGTATCTTGTACAATACAGTACACAATGTTAGGTCTTTCATGCACGAAAGAAACTTCTAAACTGTAATATAAATCCGGGTACTTAATGTGAAATATTATATGAGATCTAGATGTTTCTCTTATATAACTAATTCAAGGATATATTGTGATATGTAAGAATTACATCATAACGTATACTACGGTACTTATTACTAGCATTCTGCATTGCATGCGCATTTAAATCTATTTGTCAAGATCTACCGTTTCATGATTGCTTCAATGAAAACTAAATATCGCGCTCCTTCAAACGACTGATGATTACAACCACATCACTAGTTTATCATCCCGATATGCGCTTTTAATGCAAATGAGCCTTATAGTCTGATAATATTATAAACTGCTGCGATATTTTATGTTTACTTGCATGAGATCACTAAGCTAGTTCACTCTTAAACGAATCTTACTCCCGGTTGAAAATTAAAGCCCAATACATGCAAATTTATCCTTCGTAGATCTGTTTCTTATACTAAATGAAATAGTCGTTCTTTTTTCCTGCTTCAAAGAGGCTTGATAAATGCCCTATCTGACCGCAAATACCAGAATAAAAGCTCCCAGCCTTATACGGCCCATTGTATATACGCTTCTCTTCAACAAAGTGTATATATTTACTAATCATTAGATAATCGACTGTCGACTTATGCTTGCCCATACAACCATATTGACAATGGAAAGCAAATTTCATAAGAAATGCACTTTCGCATGAGATAAGTATAGGAAGATAACGAGCACGCAATTACTCAATACGATAAGAAAAAATTGTTCAGCAAAGGAATACAATCATGTTATTCCATGCATGTGAACTCATGAATTAAGCTATATCAAAACAAACTTGTACACAAAGGATTAAAGTGAGCATTCAACGTTCGTACAGTAATGCTAAAGATGATTGTTTAATGCTTATGTCGTATATTTACCAAATCTCTGGTTATTGAGAAGTCGAATACGTCATTTGTTTGCGAAATATTTGGGAATATATTCCACAAAATCAAAGCTCTATACTTACCAGTGTGAACGTGTCGCTCTAGTCCAACTCTCGTAGGCTTCTCTTCAGATTTCGACTCGCATATACTTTTCCGTTCTCTGTTATCCTCTTGCAGTACGCTGCTCTGATCGAGTCCAATGCGGGAATGAGGCAACGTGAACAATCTCGTCGAGTCCTGATCGCTTCCGCCACGGGACTTGAAGGAAATCCTTCCGATGATAAGCGATCTTTACAAATCGTTGTTTCTGAAGTTTTCTGAACTTCGCTGGATGCTAGGATGTCTTTAATGAAGAATGACGTAACCCCTTGGTTTTGTTGACGTGCTTGTGCGCTTTGCGAGATCATCGATGAAGCAGTTTGTGACTGGCGCTATTTTGATAAAGTTGCTGTAAGATTTGATCAGGGTTCTGATGAAAGGACATGCGTTTGAACTGTTGAACACCGCACCGGTTCGATGTAGTGAATGTCTGATTTCCTCAGTCATTTGGGGCACTGACATTGTTGCGTCTTTGTAGGAGCTTAATGGGCTATCATGCTTGGCGCTTATTGGCTAGGCTCATTGGTGAACACTTAACGAGTGTCGTTGATTGAGATTCGTGTCGATTGGCTGCCAAAAGCGCACTCACTGGGTCCTTAATGACAGCTTGGTGCGCGCGCGCTGACACTTCGCAATTAATCGCGAGGCAGGTATTCAATAAGAGATTGCGCGGAGCTGATATAAATACTTATCATTAGGGCAAGTGCTTTGATAGAGTATCATTGCCGGATGCTCACTTTGTTTACATATCTAATGATGTTTTTGTTGCCAGCTGAAGGCACAACGAATGCTGAAGATTACATGACGCTTGTATTGATTAAAGGAGAGACCTTGCATGCTTTTGAGATTGTTGGGGAGAAGTTCGTTTAGCGACGCAGATAGTAGCATAAATATATTGAAGATATACCGCTGTCTGAAGCTCAGAACTGAGAGCTCAGCTATTTCAATGCATGTTTTTATTAAAATGAAACCCAGTGGTAGCGATAAACGACCGTATAGAGTCAGCGAAGTCAAAATATACCATGTACATGCAATATAACTCATTACTAACGGCGTTTGGAGTGATTTAGAAATCATTTTTAAATGCTTCTTCACATATATGATGAACGATAAATGCCTGGCCGAAATGGACGCGAATTTTGGGAAGCTAAAACAAATCGCTTATTCACAATTAGATTTTTTCCGATTAATCAGGTATGAACAGGACTTACTGGCAAAATGGCAGTATAGACCATGGAGACACCTGTCGCCCCTTCTAGGTTCTAAGCTGTCAAAAGAATTGTCTAAAGCGTTTGAAAGGGTGTCAGTTCATTGCTCCTGAGGTCAGCGAGATTATCATAGCGAAGATTATTAAACGAAGAACGTTAATGTTTGGACTGAAGGGCCCTTTCATGCTCACTCAAAACATTTTGAAACTATTAACATTTTGAAAAATTTAATGACAATACAAGATCACTCAATATGACATTAAAAATGCAATAAAAGTATTATAATTATATATAAGCTGACCTCTTACATTGGTTACATCATTAATTTTTACTCGTGCAAAAAAGGTAAAAAACGTTTTTCTATAACAAGATGAGCATAAATGTATTCAAATTATAATAGTTTATGGAAGTAACGGTGTCTGCGATATGTTGAAACATTTCTCTTTTTTAAGTTCTGTGATTCCTGTCAATCTTTTTTTCAAAACTGAAAAACACAACTCGGATTGAATTTCATGTTTTTTTGGTCAATGATTATTTAATTTGCCATCACATTATTTTAATAGTTTGTTATCAACGAAGTCAAAGGTTATTGGACATAATTTTGTTCGAAGATTTTTACTTTTGAACGAATAAAAGTTTTCAGCTCAAGCTGCCGAACAATTCAATCAGGATATGTAAAAAATGAATCGTTATTTTTCGCTTTCAAACGAGTGTTTTCATATGCTTCATAAAAAAATTGTGAAATGAAGATATTTTGAGAATGACATTTTCCCGTAGTCATTCATCCAGTCAGATCATCAACAATTATGGGCCAAGTCTTGGGTCACATAATTTGACACCTTTTTGACAGCGGAATCAACATTCTTCAAAGGTTCACAATTCACAAATTTATAATCCTCGTTTGTATCATTCACATCATATTGTACAACATGGTCGACTTTTTCTTCACCTTCTTTGATCGCATGATTCTTTCTTTCTTTCTTCCAAATTTACGATTTGGTTTCTATGATGATGTTCCAAGGTGTCAATTTCCACTGAAGGCATTACAAGTTAATTTAAATCAACATTCTGTCGTTTGGGATAAATCTTATTTGTCTTTGGTAATGTCATCATCACATGTACAATATTTTTGCCTCATTCATATTTTCTTCCGATTCTTTTCTTAATCTCAATCTCGCAGTTACATTGTCGATCTTCACGAATAACGCACTCCAAAATAGAATTTCAGTCCTCGATAACCAAGTGTCAATGTTCGTTTATAGCTTTAGAAAAATGTAATCATGCATCACTTTACTTCGATGCTTCATCATGGAACGTCGTCACGCAATTCTCCTTGTTAAAACACTACATAGTCGAAGTTGAGTTGGAGTTTTGTTTGTTATTTTCGAGCTAGCATGGACCGTCAAGATCTTTTGTCGATTTAGCTCAGTTAAGATCACTCAACGGACGACGAAGGATGGTTTTTATAGCCTGGTTCCACACTCGTTATTCTTCTGATTGGACAAACGATCTGCAAAATGTCTCTCGGAATATTTTCATTTCTAAGGTACCAACGGTGCAAGGTACCACTGGATCTCATGTGTGACACATACGAAGTAATATAATTCATTTCTCGACAGTTTTTTGGTAAGAAATATTTGAAATTTGATGAAATTAGATTTTTTCATTCTGAGAAATAGTTAGATGAAGTAACTAATATGATGGCGAATTGAAAATGGCTGATTAATAGCTGATTTTAAAATCTAAACTGACGATTTTCAACACACCGCGTCACACCGGATGTTTTATTCTCTTACATGCGGATTAATAGCTCTCGGTTGTAAATGTTTTAGTTGCACTTGAGTTCATTCAATCATGACTATAGCTAGAATTAGTAATTTAAATCTCTGAAGTTCGACTAAAAATGCCTAAGTGACTATATATTAGAATTTCTTAGTAAAAAATCTACAGATTTTTCTTTCTCGCCGTTTGCTCTTCACCAGAATCACTTGTTCACAATTGCTCTGTGCCGGAACCAACTTCGAGAAAAGATAAGGTTGGTTGATCTGACCAAAGTCTTGATATGTGGTAATGTTGAAGTGTCTGTTCAACTTAGTGCGTTGTGCGTATGTGATATGCATGTGATTATAGTGATATTAGAATGTTGTCAAAATGTTGCGTAAATTAAGGTTGTAATTATACTACATGAAATGATTGATAATAATCGCACATTATCAGAACGCTGTGTATAAATTAAGTCGTTGATTAGGATATTTGATAGGATATTTGTGCATGTAGGTAAATCCAGAATATGATGTTTAGAATTTGTAGTCAACATTTATTACTATATTTTATGCTCTTTCGTTAGTTTTCTAATACGAAAGATTTTTTCAACCAGTGTTTCACACTCTTCTAGAAATCACTAAATCCAAAAGGTCAGTTTTCGTGTTTTACTGTTGGCAATTAAAATAGCAATAAAAACTTCGTCGCATATCCTTTTGACTTCGCTTTCGAAAAGCGAGGTGCTCCTTGTTCTATATAAACAGTCGTTTTCAATTGATTCCATTAGCTTTATCCTTAGAAACATATCTTGATTTCTTAGGTAAGGTTTGTAGGCTTGAAACTTACATTCCTCCGCAAGTTGAATGAGGACACGCGCATGAAATTGACTTTGGAACCTGCCTTCCTTCAACATTCGCTCACTACTACTTGCCCCATGGTGCTGTTTAGCGCTGATTCAATAGAAATTCCAAGTGTTTGAACGAACGATATAGCAGCCAATATTACCTTAGGAATGCTTTCGTAAACATTTAAAAAATACTGTTCCAACTGTGGCCACAGGTTTCTTTCAAGGTCACCTCTAATGCGCCGTTCGTAATGATTTCTTCGTAATCTTCGTAATTGATTCAAAATTTTTCCAAACCTCGAGCACTTTAATTTATTTTTGCGCTTCAATTGTATTTTATTGTGTTTCCTCTCCATTGTTCAAGAATTGCCTTGTACTCGTCCGTTTCAAAAATTCATTCACTTTCTTCTTTCATTCTCATATTTAGTTCCTCTCGCGATGAGCATCTCATTAAATCTACTTCAATATTCGTTGGTAGTTCGTTCATTCCTATGAACATCAAGTTCACGGATTTATTGAAATATTTCCGGTCCAGTGACCCAAAAGCTCTGACTCTGACCCAAAATGTTTCAAACTATTGTTTCAAACTATTCAAGTGTCTATATCATGGTTGCAGATTTTGAATATATCAAATGTTTGATGGATTAGCCTTTAAAGTTACTGGACATGACGTCAAATTGGAAATTTCGTGCAACTGAAACAGAAGAAAACTGATTTTCATTCCTGATTTTACGTCATGTCCGGTAACTTTTAAGGCTAATAAATCCATCAAGACAAAAGTTTTCATATGACAAAATGTATTGCAAAGTTTTTTAAAATACCTTAAACCTTTTATGTATTTGAAATCCGCAATGGGCACTTCAACATGGCTTCCCAGAGGTTGTACACTTTATTTCGGAACTGGGAAAAAGAATTTTTTTCAGAAATATCTTTCGAATACATCGATGCAATGACGTTTTCCTTCATCTTTTGAACCGCTCTTCCATATTTAGGGTTGACTGGGGCCATTAGTGGATTTCCCATCCAAAGACTTGGTATACAGAACACGTCTTTCTCTACATCAAACGAAATGATATCATCGAATGTACGATATTCTTGTTCACAATTCTCCTGCAAAGCAGCAAGCCTCGTCATTTGGTCGAGATCTTTTTTGAGGTTGAATCTGGAGGCATGTTTATCTTTTTCATCTGGATCGGTAACATTTTGATCGACAATTTTGCAAGACATCTTTCTCTCTTCAACAAGATTCATCTTCAAGAATGCATGGACGGCTATTTCTAAAAATCTCTTCATTTCGTTGTAATTTTCACCAAAATTAATGACAATCATGACATCGGAAACACCAGTGGCAAAAGTAGCTAACTGGTTGTCGTGTTCTCGTAACTGAGGATCTGCGGATCCTTTAAGACCTTCAGTATCGATGACCAAAACATAATCAAACCCTGAACCCGACTTAATTGAATCACTGACAGGAAGAAGACTAGCAAAAGCTCCGCGAGTACACCTCCCAGCACTGACTGGAAGTTCTAAACCAAACATAGTGTTTAACATTGTCGACTTACCTAAACTTTGCCTTCCTAAAACAGAAATTACAAATATTTTGGCGTTTTTTGTTTTCTGCTCTAGTTTAGTAAACACAGCTTTAAACCACTCCAGTGGAATGTAAAAGGAATCACCATCCAGTATCTCAAGAGGTTGTCCTGAAAGCAACATGTCTGCTGCAGCACCTGCATAGTCGTATTCGCTTTCTTGAATCTGGTAAAGCTGAGCAAGTTCTCTGATGATGTGTTCTAAACCAAACGAGCATTCAGCGAACGAACTGGATTTTTGGTGCGTCTTTTCTTCATAGTCTTCTCGCAATTTGGTCATCATCTGCAGAGACATTTTATCCAAACAATGTTTCAAACTATTCACAGTGTAATTTCGCTCAATTTCATTCATCGTTGCAAGACTATTCAGGCTATTAAGAATTCTTTTATCAAGTTTCTCGAGGGTTTCCTTTTGGGCTATCTTTTCCTTTGCAATATCTTCATAAATTTTATCCATATCTTCTCTGATGTTTCCACTTTTGGATTTGCTGCTTAGAAATTTTGGACAGTATCTTTCACGTTCCAACTCCGCCAATACTGGAATGTGATTTTGCAATTTCAGAAGGTTTTTTGGATTTCCTATTTCCAGATTTAACCAGCTGCCAAAATTGGTTTCAAACACCAGACGTAAATGATGTGAAACACCGTCAAGGTAAATAACATTTTCACTGGAACGACTCTCCTGTAAATGAGTATCGGCTTTTCCAGGTGGGGCATCAAGGCGAGGAAGTTCTTTCACAAGAGTCTTTTCGAGGTAGATATCATCTTCTCTTCCAGAAGTATTGTATTCCTTTGTATCAGCTGAATGAATTACATTTACTCGAGCATCGTTTTCACTTAGACGATACACAAGCTCCACAAGAGGCGATGCTTCCTTTCTATTTACATTTTTCTGAATATAATCTCGTACACTGCGAAGAAATTGACAATCGTTTAACCATTTAGCTCTCGTTATGAAAGACAACGTTTCATTTCCACTTTTTGAATCTTCGAAATACTCCTTTACATGTGCTTGTTGTATCTTTTCGTTAAAAACGAGGATGGCTTTTCCACTACAACGATTGATGGAAAGTATTGCTTCTTCTAAAATTTTCTTTGGAATGGTTTCGTCTTTTTTTTCTCCATATTCAGAAGGCAATAAGATAAATAATATGGACGATATTGCTGAGAGTACATCAAGCTGCTTTTTAAAATATCTCGCGTCTCCCCGAAGATTCGCAAAACAAATTGCATTTTGTAAAGTTTGTTTTTCACTTCCTCCAGGAAGAAACCAGCTCAGCTCAACCAATCCATCGACAACTTTCCTCTTAAAGTGGCCACCTCTCATCTCTTTGTGGAAGAAGAATTCATGGTAATAGCCTCCGTCACTCATAACTTCGTTAATCAAGGATGATTTTGACATGGTTGGTTTGCCGATACGGATGAAAGAAACAACTGGAAATGGATGTTCTGTTGCAAACACTTGTTTTATTCTGGTTCCTTCCATCCAAAATTTGGTGACACTTTCTAGTGCCGATAGCAAAATTGTGACATTCTGCGAAGGTGCTGCGGGGTCTGGCAAGAGGAATGGAACACTGAGTTGACACGCAGATAATTTATTGACAAGATAGCGTCGTAAATAACTGTCAGAGCAATGAAATAAACCGAGTATCGCATCCATTGGATTAACTGCTTGCTCATCTTCATCTTCACTTTCATTTGAGTCATAATTACTTTCAGTCGTAAAAAGTAATGGTTTTAATTCAAATTCACGTACGTGGTAATCACCTATCATTAACATTTTAAAAATGTAATTAGGTATTTGATCTTCGGACGTTAATTCTTTATCGGTTAGTGTATGTTTATCGACTGTTCGTGCATCGTTTAAAGTGTACTTCGTTGTAGGTGTTTGCGGATGTTTATCACGTGTTGTTGCTATATGAAGTGTGGTGTCTAATGTTGTTATTGCTTCTGATTGTTCTGGTTCATCAACCCCCCTTCTCGTAACTAAGTATGGATGCTTTTCAAGGCCACCGGGAGTGTTTATGGCTTTTGCTAAGAAAACAGAATACAACACAATTTTTTGTTTTAATATAAATAATTTGCAAACAAAGTGTATAAACATTTTTGCTGCATAAAATGAAATGCGCTCAAAATGCGACGTAAACTGAAAACATGTATTGCAGAACTTTTCAATGCATAGCATATTTATCTCACACAATACCTTTCTCTGGATCATCGCTCGTTTTTCTTGAGTCGAAAACATCTGATGAATCTTTGGAAGTTTCAGTTTCCCCAGATTTAAAAATAGTTGCGCTGCTGTCATGTTGATTTTTATTGTCTATCTGCTCAATTTTCCTGTAGAATAGCAACGTAGTTGGAAGGAAGTTAAAATTTGCCAAATTATCTTCGCGTATAGCCTTTTTCCTGCATGTTAAAACATAAGTAGTTCTTGAACAACTCAAGAACACATATTTATGGATATTTCTCACTTTACCTTCTAATGGCCTTTGCTCTTTCTTCTACCTCTTCAATGTTTTCAATTTCAACCACTAAACCCTCAGTTTCAATTCCAATATTTGAAAATTCCTTTTTTAAGCGTTCTTTGGTTTTTCCAGTTCTAAAATCTTCTAAAACCTGGAGAAATCTTTCGTCAGTAAAACATCGCAGCAAGACGTGAAGACATCCTGGTTGAATGTCCTCCACGTCTGAATCTTCGTTTTCGCCGCCAAGCCCATTATTGACAGCCTGTTTGTATTGCAGTTCTAGTTCACGTGACTTATACTTGTAATATGCATATATTCCGCCCAAGGTCACTACAGTTCCTGCCACTATTGCAACGATACTAGTTGTCTTGTCGGTGCTGATATTGAACTTGAAACGACCGCCATTACCAGCAGAAAAAGTTGCATGTACTGCTTCCTGCAATGCAGCCTTTCCAACATCAGATGCTGATTCTGCCATCAGGAAACTTATCCTGAATTTATGTATAAATAAAATATCAACTTTAATTGTTAATACCGGACCACAGCCATATCATATTGATTTTAGGGGACTGGACCCTAGTCGCCAGGGGAATATTGACAACTTGGATATTGTAAGCATTAGGCCCTTGCACACGCAATCAAGACAGCGTTTATTCTACATTTTTTCAAGCAAGTGTTCAGTTACCATAACAGTAACATAACGTATTAACATAGTTTATATTGTAGGTTACTGACTTTATACGGAAGAATACGTAAGCAGTTTACATATAACTGGCTTTATTTCAAGAATCAAAACTGATATGTCACAGAAAACGCAGTACATGAAAAATATGTTTTACGTTCTTTACAATGACAGAAATTTAAATGCCCTTACAGCTGATCAGTTAAAACATGCCCTGCGATCGAGTTTCATTTCACCCGATCAACGCACAATAATGTTACCCGCCCAAAACAATGTCAAATTGATAAACTTATGAATTATAAAACTGCTTTCTAGCTATCTTGTTTCGATCAAACATTTTTTATACAAATTACACCCACCTTTAGAAGTTTCTGCTTTGGAAAGGAAGCTCGATAATCTGCAGGAAATATAAAAGGTAATTGTAAACTTGCATGCAACTAGAATGCGGGGGAGAGAATGTTCTGCATGACTTGAAAACTGCACGATTTTGTATGTAACAAATATTTCTGAAGCTTAACTATAGGTCGTAATACTTTACTATTAGTATTTCGGTTTAGTCGAAATGTAGAAATTACTTTTTCTATTGTTCTATATTCAAAGTTAATTTTATATTTTATCAAAATACTTAGTGATTTCCGTAACTACCATACTGTATCATTCGCCTGTATTTTAAAAGCTGACTCACACTCATACAAACTAATTAAGTGAAATATCTCAAATCCCGTCTTAACGATTCCATGGCGGTCTTTCTAGTCGAATAAAGAGCTTGCTTCTCAGTGTTTTGCTTTAAATCTTTCCATTGATTAAAAAACGATCTTCTCATGCATTGGTTAACAATAACAGAATTTATACGTCGCACTCAATATGAATACGAGTAATCTTTTTAAATGTGCAGGCGTTAGTCTCATCATAGCGGCAACAGCACGGTACATAAAATGTAGATACCAAGTCATGCATTTAGACATCTGACAATTGAACAGTTGTTAGCTGTTACTTACGTTTGTAGCATATACGAATACTCCAATTTATACGTCAAAGTCGATATTTTATTGCAAGGAAGGAAATTCATAGAACTCGTTAGACTTTACCAGAAGTGTCCAACATAATATCATGTCAGTAAAAAGAACACATCTCAGTCGAAAGGATGAATTATGATGTTGTTGTGGATCGTTTTTATTTACTTTAAAGTTTAACAGTGATTTGAATTATTTTAAAAGCGAATATGTGATCCATGACTTCGTTCATTGTTAAAAGTGAAAGTTGTTCTCTCTGCCAATGGCAGGCCAGTTTCCAGCAGAGGTCTCATAGTGTTTGTTATTTCAGGCATTTTCCTGTGTTTTGTTAATTATCGCCTATGTCTCAATTACTATAGCACATGACTGTTATTGACAAATGAATTCGGGGTGTATATTTCGAAGAGAACACACATATAATTCTGCTTGTAGATTTAGAATTAAACATTACTTCATTTCCCAGCAATAAATATGTAGAAATTATGACAAGGCAATACTGGAGCGATAAATTATGCTCATTTAAGATAATTACCTACCTCCAGAGTTTCCCGGGAGGAGTAATAGCGATAACTGAGTTCGATTTTATCTTACGAGTGACGACTCATGAGACACTTCTGTGAGAAAATCATTTATCCTCTTTCCGAAAGCTATAGTCGTATGTTCTGGGTGCCCTGTGTACCCCCAGAAAATTTTCACAGGTGGGGCTGGGTTTGGATAATCTCTCCCTAACACGCCAATCGTAGCCTAACACGCCAATCGGATAATCTCTGCCTAACACGCCAATCGTAGCTGTGCCGTTGCCATTGATCAGCGGTAAATGATACGGTAGCAACAAAGGCGTTATGTATGTCTTTTCACCTGGGGAAATTGTTCGCGCGAAGTGATTGGAAAACAAAGTTCGGCAATGCGAATGGTTCTCGAATGATAAGTCGTTGAAAAAAGCTCTAGCTATTCCTGGATTTGTTTGAATGCATAGCTTAGGTCAGGAGTCAAGAAATTTCAAACATTTTGAAAGCATCTTTAATTACAAGACAAGATTATACATATATCATTGACAGTGCAGCTGGAGTAATTATATAGTCCATATATATTCGTGCATTGGTTACATTAATACTGATTTTCTTAAACTGTTCAATACTGATGCAAGAAACGATATTAAAAAGACATTTCTAAGAAAGTTAATCAATACTAATATGCAATAATAGTATCGCAATATGTTCAGTCCAGGAATGGTTTCGCAATATGTTGAAAATTCACGTTTTTTTAGCATTTTCCTTTCAATTTTTCCTTTACCTTTAAGACGCTTCGTTTTGATTTTGCAGTAAAACTTCAGAATATAGAACTTGGAAAATTTAAATTCTATTCTTCTATCAAAGTTGTCATTGAAATTTGCTATCAAATTGCTCTGTGATTTTGTTAGAAAAATGTCTCCAAATCAGAAATCTCTTTAAAAAGAAAATATTCGGAAAATGATATACTTTCCACATCGTTTATCTCAATCACACGATCAACAAATGTGGACGAAGTGGCCACCCATTTTTGCCAGTGCTGCAACGTTTGGACATGCGTTGAATGAAAATTCTTCATAGGTTTGGAATTTTTGTATTCTCGATCATATATTTGAGGTTAAAGATGACGTATTTTCTTTGCTTGTATTGTTAATATTTTTCCGTCGCGTTCCAGGTTTTCCCAAGAAAGTGTTTCTCATTTCATATGGTAGTTTTTTTGTAATCATGTCCGTCCCACTGTCCAGTAATGAAAGCTGCCTTCGTGCATAATTGAAATAATTTGATTTTGAAGGACCGATATTTGCCGTATCATTCAAAATGTATAATATAGTAATCCTTGGTCATCTCAAATCTCACAGCCACGCTGATGATGTCCATGGAATCAACTTCCAAGATACAATTTCAGTGATTCAATCAACAATTACTTCAGCTTAAGTGTCAAAGTTCGTTGTTTATAACATCAGAAGATGCATTATGGTGTTCCTCCGTCGATCCTTTATGAAGATTTGTGGTAACACAATGTTAACTTTTTCTTTCTGTCTAAAATCTTTTGACAATACAGTTCTACTTGAATTAAGGTTTCATCCCGTCCGTTTTACTTTTAACTGTAGGATTTTTTGAGGATGAGCCAAGCGGTGGACTTGACAAAAATGGATGAGAAAACGTGATCCACATTAAATTTTGTTGATTGTTCTGATTGCCCGAGAATAATGTGTCTAGCGATCATTTTCAGAATATTCTTAACATTAATTAACGTGACTCTGAATTTCGTAATATTTTCAAACGAACACTGAATAATAGCGATTCACAGTGACTTTGAGAGCAAATTCAATGGTATACAAATCGTTGATAATTTACTGAAAAAAGTTGGAAAATATCAGCCGTTAAATTTCAACATACCACGTCATTCTAGATGAATTATTTTTTCTACTGTATGATTCTTAACGTTAAAAATTCTCGCGGCATTTCCAGTTGCATTTGGCAGTAATAATTTATTCTCCCACGCGCCCAATCTTTATTTTGGCCAATCGAAATAAATCGTGGTCGCATGTGACATATTTGTGGCCATCTTATTAGCGTTCAGCGGCTCATTCAACTTCCAGCTTTTGTGTGCTTCACATCAACTGCGGGCGAGGTCTGTTTTTTTCTACACAGCACGCCTTACGAACGTTAACAATAGTGCGTGTAATAATAGTGCATTTTATTATGCGTACCCAAGTATTTGTGCATGAATCTACGCTTTCTAAGCGTACTCGATCGAAGCTAAACAACACTGCACGCATATTCTCTGTATTCGATTAAAACTGAACGAATGTACGCATATTCTGTCTTCTAGATCAAAGCTGAACGAAACTGCACGCACGCATACGTCTCGTTCAAAACTAAAACGAATGTACGCATATATAATTATTCTGTGCACTCTATCGAAGCTAACGGATCTGCACGCATACTCGATCAAAACTAAACGAATGTATTATATGCATATATATTTTGTGTCTCGATCAACGCTATTAAAACGACACCGCACGCATATTCCGTACTACCACCTACTACCAACTACAGAATATCGGTATATACTGCTTGAACGCATGCATAATGTCCGATGTACGTAACATGTCGGTGTTGTATCATAAAAATATCGGTTAGCAGTACTTTTGGCTGGAGAGTACTCGTGAATGACACATTATCAATAAGCAGAGTAAAATATTAAAATTATAGCTAACGAGACTGGGTTTTGCATAGTAGTAAAACATTCGTGAGTGATAATCTAAAAAGATGTAATTCAAATGCTACAAATTTATAAACAGAAACTCAGATAGGACGTAATGAAAGTTATTGTACGATTACAAAATCGTTCCGTGTGATCGTCTGCGATATGAAACGTAAAGCAACTATAAATAAGCCATTGAAATGCGCAAGTTCTACTAAGGCAGCAAGTTTGCCATGTAGACACAAGCAGGTACTTACCTTCTTTTCTACGAATTCCCTCGTTAAACTATACCAGACGAACAACGGAGGAAAACCTTGGCAACTCGTAACTCGCCGACGAATGTAACTAGCTGCCCCTGCTTCGCGTCTGTTTTTGTTTTCTGAGAAGACGTACGGTCACGTGATTTCCAATGAACAGCTGTATTCATGACGTGGCAGTTTTCTGGTTATTGTGGTATCCGATTTCTTGCTCTAGCACATATATTGATATAACTCATTGTGTTCTCATTGTCATTGAGATTATCAAAGAATTGGAATTCCCTGACCATCGATTTTGTTATGGTCAATCGGAGTTTAATTTCAGAAATGAAAAAAACTTTCGAGGACTTGAGGTTGGTCTGTTAAACCAGATAAAGGAACGCGCATCTCAACTTTCTTAATTAAATTGGTAAACTAATACTTGAATCAATATTTAAATGAATTATGTGCAGCTGCGAACGGATTTAATTGCTATGGTTACAGCATATAACTTAAGCATGCTGACGCTGTTGCCGTTTACTTCCCTATGGTTTCCATCTGGAGTTGGCCACTCAACGCTAAACCTATCACATTCCTTGAATTTAATTGTTCAAGTCTTTAATAACTTTAAATCTGAGTCTGGAAGAAGCTTGAATGTCAGTCACATTAGACTAATATTAAAATAAACGAGATCTGCATAAATCGTACTACTGAAGACATCTATAGATGATATAGGTAGCATGAGGGTTCGCCTGTATAAATATCGCCAGTTTCTGAGAAATATTTCGCCGAATTCCTCTCACTCCAGGTCTATAAATAATATACAATCTTAGCCACATCCTTGTCATCTCTCCACTTGCCATTCAATGTATATAACCGCGGAACTCGAAACTCCGGCTTTGACAGCTGGTATAGTTTGCTTTAGGTATTGCAGAATACATGCAAGCAAAAAAAACACAAACACATTTTGAAAAAAAAAACTTTTGATTACTACAATACAAGTTGGTATATAACATTATTGTGATATGTAAGACTTACATGTATTGTGATATGTAAGACTTACATCATAACGTATACTACGGTACTTATTACTAGCATTCTGCATTGCATGCGCATTTAAATCTATTTGTCAAGATCTACCGTTTCACGATTGCCTCAATAAAAACTAAATATCGCGCTCCTTCAAACGACTGATGATTATAACTACCCGACTAGTTTATCGTCCCGAAATGCGCTTTTAATGCAAATGAGCCTTAGTCTGATAATTTTATAAACTGCTACAGTATTATGTTTACTTGCATGGGTTCACTAAGCTAGTTCACTCTTAAACGACTCTTACTCCCAGCTCAAAATTAAAGCCCAATACAAATTTATCCTTCGTGGATCTGTTTTTTATACTAAATGAAATAGTCGTTCTTTTTTCCTGCTTCAAAGAGGCTTGATAAATGCGCTATCTGACCGCAAATACCAGAATAAAAGCTCCCAGCCTTACACGGCCCATTGTATATACGCTTCTCTTCAACAAAATAATCGACTGTTGACTTATGCTTGCCCATACAACCATATTGACAATGGAAAGCAAATTTCATAAGAAATGCACTTTCGCATGAGATAAGTACAGGAAGATAACGAGCACGCAATTACTCAATACGATAAGAAAAAATTGTTCAGCAAAGGAATACAATCATGTTATTCCATGCATGTGAACTCATGAAGCTATATCAGAACAAACTTGTACACAAAGGATTAAAGAGAACATTTAACGTTCGTACAGTAAATGCTAAAGATGATTGTTTAATGCTTATGTCGTATATTTACCAAATCTCTGGCTATTGAGAGATCGAATACGTCATTTGTTTGCGAAATATTTGGGAATATATTCAACCAAATCAAAGCTCTATACTTACCAGTGTAAACGTGTTGCTCTAGTCCAACTCTCGTAGGCTTCTCTTCAGATTTCGACTCACATATACTTTTCCGTTCTCTGTTATCCTCTTGCAGTACACTGTTCTGATCGACTCCAATGCGGGGATGAGGCAACGTGAATAATCTCGTCGAGTCCTGATCGCCTTCCGCCACAGGACTTGAAGGAAATCCCTCTGATGATAAGCGATCTTTACAAATCGTTGTTTCTGAAGTTTTCTGTACCTCGCTGGATGCTAGGATGTCTTTAATGAAGAATGACGTAACCCCTGGGTTTTGTTGACGTGCTTGTGCGCTTTGCGAGATCATCGATAAAGCAGTTTGTGACTGGTGCTGTTTTGATAAAGTTGCTGTAAGATTTGATCAGGGTTCTGATGAAAGGACATGCGTTTGAACACCGCACCGGTTCGATGTAGTGAATGTCTGATTTCCTCAGTCATTTGGGGCACTGACATTGTTGCGTCTTTGTAGGAGCTTAATGGGCTATCATGCTTTGCGCTTATTGGCCACGCTCATTGGTGAACACTTAACGAGTGTCGTTGATTGAGATTCGTGTCGATTGGCTGCCAAAAGCGCACTCACTGGGTCCTTAATGACAGCTTGGTGCGCGCGCGCTGACACTTCGCAATTAATCGCGAGGCAGGTATTCAATAAGAGATTGCGCGGAGCTGATATAAATACTTATCATTAGGGCAAGTGCTTTGATAGAGTATCATTGCCGGATGCTCACTTTGTTTACATATCTAATGATGTTTTTGTTGCCAGCTGAAGGCACAACGAATGCTGAAGATTACATGACGCTTGTATTGATAAAGGAGAGATTTTGCTTCTAAGATTGTTGGGAAGAAGTTCGTTTAGTGATGCAGATAATAGCATAAATATATTGAAGGTATACCGCTCTCTGAAGTTCAGAACTGTGAGCTCAGCTATTTCAATGCATGTTTTTATTAAAGGGAAGTGCAGTTGTGGTAGCGATAAACGACTTTATAGAGTCGGGGAAGTGAAAAATATACCATGCATGTACATGCAATATAACTCATTACTATAACGGCGTTTGGAGAGATTTAGAAATCATTTTTGAATGCTTCTTCACATATATGATGAACGATAAATGCCTGGCCGAAATGGACGCGAATTTTGCGAAGCTAAAACGAATCGATTATTCACGATTAGATTTTTCCGATTAATCAGGTATGAACAGGACTTACTGGCAAAATCGCAGTATAGACCATGGCGACACCTGTCGCCCCTTCTAGGTTCTAAGCCGTCAAAAGAATTGTCTAAAGCGTTTGAAAGGGTGTCAGTTCATTGCTCCTGAGGTCAGCGAGATTATTATAGCGAAGATTATTAAAACGAAGAACGTTAATGTTTGGACTGAAGGACCCTTTCATGCACACTCAAAATATTTTGAAACTATAAACTTTTTGAAAAATTTAATGACAATACAAGATCACTCAATATGACATCAAAAATGCAATAAAAGTATTATAATTATATATATAAGCTGACTTCTTACATTGGTTACTTCATTAATTGTTACTCGTGCAAAAAAGGTAAAAAACATTTTTCTATAACAAAATGAACATAAATATATCAAATTATAATGGTTTATAGAAGTAACAGTGTCTGCGATATGTTGAAACGTTTCTCTTTTGTAAATTCTGTGATTCCTGTCAATCTTTTTTTTCAAAACTGCAAAACACAACTCGGATTGAATTTCATGTTTTTTTGCTCAATGATTATTGAATTTGCCATCACATTATTTTAATAGTTTTTTATCTACGAAGTCAAAGGTTATTGAACATAATTTTGTTCGAAGATTTTTACTTTTGAACGAATAAAAGTTTTCAGCTCAAGCTGCCGAACAATTAAATCAGGATATGCAAGAAATGAATAGTAAATTTTCGTTCTCAAACGAAGGTTTTCAATGCTTCATAATAAAAAGATCTTTGAAATGAAGATATTTTGAGAATGACATTTTCCCGTAATCATTCATCCAGTCAGATCATCAACAATTATGGGCCAAGTCTTGGGTCACATAATTTGACGCAACTTTTTGACAGTGGAATCAACATTCTTCAAAGATTCACAATTCACAAATATACAATCCTCGTTTGTATCATTCTCATCATCATATTGAACAGCGTGGTTGACTTTTTCTTCACCTTCTTTGGTCGCATGATTCTTTCTTTCTTCCAAATTTACGATTTGGTTTCTATGATGATGTTCCAAGGTGTCATTTTCCACTGAGTGCATTACAAGTTAACTTAAATCAACATTCTGTCATTTGGGATAAATCGTATTTGTCTTTGGTAATATACCAACATCAACAGTACAGTACTTTTTGCCTCATTCATATTTTCTTCCAATCTTTAATCTCAATCTCAGAGTTACATTGTCTATCTTCAGGAATAACGCACTCCAAAATACAGTTTCATTCCACGATAACCAAGTCAGTGCACGTTCAAGTGTTAATGTTGGTTTGCTTGTAGCTTTAGAAAGATGTATTCATAGCTGTACTTCGATGCTTCATCATGGAAACGTCCTCACACAATTCTTCTTGTTAAAACACTGTATAGTCGAGGCTGAGTTGGAGTTTTGTTTGTTATTTTCGAGTACAGAGCGTCAAGATCTCTTGTCGATTCAGCTAGGTTAAGAAGATCACTCAACGGACGAAAAAGGTGTCTTTTAAAGCTTTATAGTTCCACAATCGTTACTTTTCTTATTGTACAAACGATCTGCAAAATGTCTCTCGAAATATTTTCATTTCTCAATTTTTTTTTATCACCAGCAAGGTGTGTTTTGTACAAGGTTATGACAGCAAACGAAACGCAAAATAATAAGTACTATCAGTTTTGATGTGTGACGCATTTTTTTCATTTTCAAATTCATTTTTCGACAGTAAGAAACATTTGAAATTTGATGAAGTTAGATTTTTTCATTCTGAGAAATAGTTAGATGAAGTAATCAATATGATGGCAAATTCAATCGTTTTCAAATTGCTTTAATTTGGCTGATTAAAAGATGATGATTCCAAAATTTAAACCGACGATTTTCAACAAACCGCTTAACACCGAATGTTTTATTCTCTTACATGCGGATATTTCCTGCTTAACGCTAAGTTGTAAATGTTTTATTTGCGCTTTGAGTTCCTTACTATAACACTCCATTGTAGAATTAATAATTTAAATCGCTGTAGTTAGAATAAAGAAGTGTCTAGATGCATGCCTATACATACAAGCATTTCTCATGAGAAAATCTCCAGATTTTTGTTCCTCGCCCTTTTCTTTTCTTCAGGATAAGCTTTTCATAGTTGCTTGTGCCGCAGCCAACTTCGAAACTAGGAAAGGTTGGTTGATCTGACCAAAGACTTCATATGTGGTAATTATTGTTGGAGTGTCTGGTCAGCTTAGTGCGTTTGTGATGTATCGTATATTAAAATGCGGTTGTGTTTGTCTGGTGAAATTTCATATTTTTGTGCTGCTTTTTGTTAAAGCTGAGATTATAGATGTCAGTTTATAATTTTATATCTGAAAATTTTTATATGCTAAAGAGTTCTAATATTCTCAAACACCTTCAGCGTGGTCTGAGTCATGATATTTAGGCCCATTTTGTTTATATTGTTTAACTACCGTGCTGTAAAACAAATTGATTTACATATTTTATGAAAAGATATATAATTATATATAATCAAGTCTTTAAGCTAATGGTTTTTTTTTAACTTCCTTCTTAAATGATTTATTATTAACACAAATGTTTTATATACTTTCAATATCTATAGCAACGTTCTTTTGTGGAAAATCTTTGAAACTTGGGTTGTAGGCAATATGATAGTCTTTTTGGACCCTTCAAGATTTGAACTTTGCATGTATTTACAAGTTGTATTTATCTTCAAGATCTTTTTTTGCCTCGCTGAACGTAACACGCTTCCATGCCTCGGGAATGTCTGGTTCTTCCGACTTGTAGTGCTCTGCCAATTCTTTCGAGAAGGTTGCCATAAACCATTGAAAATACTTGGATGATTCAAATGATGGATCTGGAGGAATCGACCAGGATTTGTAATAAGGATTTACTGACTGATAATCTTTGTAAGGATGAGGTTTTCTCGCTGTAGCATTGTTTTGAAATGTCCCGTTACTTGCCACTCTCATGGTGCAAATTTCGGTGACTAATACTTTTGACTTAATGTTGTGGTAACTACTTATTCCTTCAGGACGATGAGATAGCGTTGAGTGTTTTCCTGGATGATTTAAAACTGTTTTGTCACACAAAGCTTTGCAGAAAGGACAAACACTTTCACAACCAATAATTTTGTTAAATAAAATATCACCTGGCGATGGATTCCATGTTTGAATAGCTTCAACATCAAAACCGCGATCTATGAAGCTTTTTACAAAAAGGTTTACTTTTTTACGAACTTCAACCTGGAAGACTTCCATATTATCCATATTTTCAATGGCAGCCAGAGCAAACGTTTCTTCCTTTATAACGAGTATAGAACACTCTTCGACAAACTGCTGAATCCAGAATGTCAGTTTCTTGTTTCCAGTTCTTGTTTTCTCGTTGGCAGTTTTAATAGCAGCGAAAACATTGTTTTGTATTCCTGTGATTTTGTCTTCTAAGATAGATTTCACGTGGTCTAAACAGTAATTTTCAATCGATTCCTTTAGTTTTATTTTTAGAAAATTAACTGGGTTTTTTAGATAAGGCTTGTACGAATCGAAATTGCTTTCCTTCCCAAGTTGAATGAGGACATTCGCATGAAATTGACTTTTGCTTTTGTATGTGGTTTCTTTCATTATTTCTCTTGCCACTGCTTGACCCATGATGCTGTTCAACGCTGATTCAATTGGAGTTTCAAGTGCTCGGACGAACGAAGTAGCGGCTAACACTTCTTTTTCCATCTTCTCACAAATGTCTTCGAAATGTTTTTCTAACATTGGTCGCAGGTTTCTTTCCAGGTTGCCTCTAATATCTCGTTCTTGTATGAAGCGTTCTTCCATTTTTTCAAAAATTTCATACGTCTCAGCAAAAGCGTAAAGCAATATATCACATTTTGAAGACTTACGCATTTTGTTTGTTTCTTCTTCGATCGCGGTAATCACATTGTGGTACATTTGTGTTAGAACATTACGTGTGCATCTAAATCCGGAATTTAAAGCTTTTTCTGCAAAATCGACTGCCTGGAATGCTGCAAATTCTTCGATTATTCCAGCATCAGTAAATTTTTTATATTGTCTCGAAAGGAATTTCTTAATGAATCAAACGTGCGGGAGAATATTTAGTGATACTTTCAACATCTGGAGCATCTTTTCGAAAGTTTAATATTTTATTGTTTTTTTCTTCTAATTTCTTTCCCATTTCTGCCTCCAAACTTGGGTCTTTGTAACGAAGAACATACACCATTTCGTCGTTGACGTTTGCTTTACTTACTTGACATTCGGAAACGCATTCAATCCATTGCCGCCATTCTTTTTCAAAAGCCATCTTAAATTTCTTTTTATCATCAATATCACCGGTTGATGTTATAAAGTTTTTTGCCTTTTCCAGAAGCATTGCTTCGCAATCTTGTTTCTTTGCTTCAACGTCCTGTAGACTCTGTAAATACTCGAAAGTTGATAAGCAGTCGCTGTGAATCTGTCCCATTTGAGTTTCTTTCTCAACTTCAATTCTATTCATCACGTATTCTTTCCACTGTTCCAGAGTTTCCTTGTCCTGGTTGGTTTTGAAAAATTCATTCATTGCCTCCTTCATTTTTTCTGCAAGTCGTTGCCCTTCTTCACGTATTTCCCTTTCTTTCTTTTTCCATTCCTCTTCTCGTTGTGTCTTTGTTGAGCACCTTTTTAGAGCCACTTCAACCTTCGTTTGAAACTCGTTCATTCCTATTGTAATCAAATTTACTGACTCACTGAAATATTTTCTGTCTAATGCCGTAAATGCCCTGACTTCAATTATATTACGGAAACAAAATATGAAATTTTCTTTAAGCATGGCCTTCCAGAGGTCGCAGACTCTTTCTCGAAACTGGGAAAAAGAGTTTTTCACACTTTCTTCTGAATACATCAAGTCAATGATGGTTTCTTTCACTTTTTGAACAGATCTTCCATATTCTGGGTTGACTGGGGCCATTGGTGGACTTCCTTTCAGAAGACTTGGTATATAAAACACGTCTTTCTCTTCATCAAAGGAAATGATATCATCGAATGTACGATATTCTTGTTCACAATTCTCCTGCCAAGCAGCAAGCTTTGTCATTTGGTCGAGATCTTTTTTGAGGTTGAATCGTTTGAAGGTTAATTTGTCTTTTGCATCCGTCGCTACGACATTTTGGTGGACAATTTTGCAATACTTTTTCTTTTTTTCAACAATATTCATCTTCAAGAAGGCATGGATAGCTATTTCTAAAAATTCTTTCATCTCATTTTCGTTTTCACCCAAGATATTCACTATGGTTACATCCGCAACACCAATTGCAAATGTCGCTAACTGGTTGTCATGTTTTCTTAACCTGGAATCTGCGGAACCACTAAGACCTTCGGTATCAATAATCAAAACATAATCAAACTTTGAAGCTGTTTTAAGAGAATTACTAACGGGAATAAGATTAGCAAAAGCGCCACGAGTACATCTTCCTGCGCTGACTTGAAACTCTAAACCAAACATTGTGTTTAACATTGTTGACTTACCCGAACTTTGAATTCCTATTACGGAAATTACAAATATTTTCGCGTTGTTTGCTTTCTGGTCTAATTCATTAAACACAGCTTTAAACCATCGGAGTGGGATATAAAATGAATCACCATCCAGTATTTCAAGAGGTTGTCCTGAAAGCAACATGTCTGCAGCAGCACCTGCATAATCGTATTTGCTTTCTTCAATCTCGTAAAGCTGAGCAAGTTCTCTGATGATGTGTTCTAAACCAAATGAGTGTTCTGAGATTGCTTCTTCCAACTCTTTCAATTTTTTCTCTTCAGGCGATTGTGTTTCGGACTCCTGAGACGTTTCCTTTCTCTTCAGAAGCCTCAGCCTAGCCTGGAGATAGGCTTCGTGCAATTTTGGCATTGTTTCCAGAGACATTTTATTCAAACATATTTTCAATTTATTCAAGGTGTAATCTCGTTTATTTTCGTCCACTGTGCCAATGTATTTTAGACAATCAAGGATTCTTTTGTCCAATTTGTCTAAGGTGCCTCTTTGAGCGATTTTTACTTTTGCAATATCTTCGGAAATCTTCTCTGCAACTTTCGTAATGCCGTCGGGTTCAGCTTTGCCACTGAGACATTTTGGAGAATGTTTCTCGCGTTCCAAATCTGCCAATGCTGGGACGTGCGTTTGTAATTTTAGAAGATTTTTGGCATTTCTATTTTCTCTGTTTAGCCAGCTGCCAAAGTTCTCCTCAATTTCGGAATCTAATGGCTGTGGAACGTCAAGTTGAACACCATCTTCACCCTGATGAGATGCTAGTGCCACAAGAGGTGAGGCTTTCACTTCATTGATATTTATCTCAATGCTTTCTCGTAATTTCAGAAGAAGATGACTTTCGTTTTTCTCTTCTGCTTGAATTATCAAAGGAAACTCTGAATCTTTGAAATATTTTTTTGCATCACTTTCTATTTGTTTCTTAAAGACGAGGATGGTTTTGCCTCTGGCACGCTTTGCTTCTTCCAAAATTTTTTTTGGTATGGCGTCGCCTTTGCTTCGAAATTTCGAGGGCAATAATATAAATAATACGGATGAAATCGTAGAGATAAGATCAAGCTGCTTCTTGAGATTTCTGGCGTCTCCTCGAAGATTTGCAAAACAAATTTCTTTTTTTAACGTCGTTCCTTCACTCTCTCCAGGCAGATACCAACTCACTTCAACCAATCCATCGACAACTTTCCTTTCAACGTGACCACCTTTCATGTCTTTGTGGAAGAAGAAGTCATGAGTAATGTCTCCGTCACTCATAATTTTATTAATCAAGGATGATTTCGACATTTTAGTTTTGCCAATGCGAATGAAAGAAACAACCGGAAATGGATGTTCCGTGGCAAATACTTGTTTTGTTCTGGAGGAATCTTTCCAACACTTTGTGATGTTCTCTAAAGCTGAGAGCAAAATTGTGACGTTTTCAGAAGGTGCTGCAGGGTCTGGCAGAAGAAATGGAACACTAAGTTGACAGTCTGATAATTTACTAGCAAGATAACGTCGTAATGAATCATCGGAGCGATGAAATATACCGAGTATCGCATCCATTGGATTCACTTCCACGGTTTCTTCACCTTCCTTTTTATTTGAATTTATTTCAAATTCACGCACGTGGTAATTAACTATCATTAAAGTTTTAAAGATATAGTCAGGTATATTATCTTTGTTTAATTCTTGATCAGTTAGTGTATTGTTATCAATGGTACGTGCATGTTCTAATGTGTATTTGTTTTGCTTATTTGTGGTCTTAATTGTTGTGGTTGGTGTCCTTATTGCTTCTAAAGCTTGGCCTTGTTGTTCTTGTTCATCATTTCCCGTTTCTGAAACTGGAGGCGAATGCTTCACAAGATTACCAGGAAGGCTTACGGATTTTGCTACGGTTGCAAAAAGAATATAAAACTGAAACGTTTGACAGTGATTTTTTACTTCTTTAGCGTATTTTAAGGCGTTTGATGGTGCCATAAACCGAAAAAAAAGTCAGTCCATAGCCCCGTTTACACTACACTCAATTTATTGGCACGGCACGGCTAAAATGGGCACCCGTACCCATTTCATCTATACTCGGCCTTTGTTTTGGTAGCCTGAACACTAATAAAATTGGGTACGGGTGCCCATTTTAGCCGTGCCGTGCCGATAAATTCAGTGTAGTGTAAACGGGGCTCATGTACATGCATGCAACCGGTACTTTCCTATATGGATACACATTACTAGTTTTTGTTTGATGCATACAATTACATTTCATACCCTTCTCTGAATCTTCAATCGTTTTTTGATCAAGTGTTTTACTATCGCCTCTTTCGTTCTTGGAATCGTCTGATTTCACTTCCGTTCTATCATCCAGTTGTTCCATAGTAACTTCCGTTTTATTTTCAGCTGATGCTGGCTCTTTTTTATCTTCTTGTACTTGATTTCCATTTTTAGTTTCCTCCATATCGTCTATACAATATTTTTATAAAAAATCTAATGGCCTTTCATTGTTACTATGAAATGCAATTAGTAGAAATACAAATCTTAATTAAAGCCAGCAAGGACTTTGGGCAGTGTTTGTCGACTTTCTATTTCGATGGCCAAGTTTCAAAATATGTGCCTCAAAGAACTGGTGGTGCGCTTTTAACGAGCGTATAAAATAAATATTAATCACTCTTATCTACAATTATTTTGATTCAGATAGTTATTAGCTAATGAACTGACGTATAGAGTAGACACAAAGAAACGATGTTCAAGATATTGTCATTTCGTATTCGTGATATAGATTTGTCTTCTCAACAGGCTCTGTCTAAGGTTGTAGCTCAGGTTTCAGCCGGAGTTCGTCAAACTCTTGCACATAAAACTCTAACATAAACTCTCACAAATGATAAATACATTCAAAACGGCTTCTCTACTTATCAAGAGGTCAGAAAACTGTGCCTAAGGTCTTATTTTACAATCCATTACTCTACTGAATGCGTAACTTGGCAGCGGAAAAACTGCAAAACTTGAAATATTGCTATAATTTCTATTGCGAGATATAATATTTATTCTTACTGTACCAGTTTCGCCGTTATGTTCGCTTGGGAAATTCTCAGAAGTTTTCGTTTTTGATTTCTCAGGCTCGTGATCTCCTTCACTTCCATTCTCCTTATGCTCCATGGTATAACAGCGACCAGGAATTTCCCCACTTTCTGTTCTGCGCAAAATTATAAATATACTTGTAGAAATTCCAGAAAAGACAAAATGCATGTGCAGCCATTAAATATGTTTGTTGGCTTTCTTGTTGAGTTTACAAGTACAGTAAAATCATGCATAAATTAGATTTAATAATATGGAAGGTTTATTAGCCGCAAATTAGTTACAAATAGCTTGTTATGGATGAATGCATGTCAATAACGGAGACATGGAGTCATTGAACCCTTGTAGCTTTAGATGTCTCAGGAGTTGAATTGCATTGCAAGCTGGAAGGAGAGTTGCATAGTGCAACATCGCCTTTAGATAGGGTTTTAAATATTTACTAAAAGACGCCTTAAAAATAAAGGTCAAACGCTTTGATTGTGAAAGCCGACTAATGCGTTATGAAATTGCAGGGCGTTGTTTTAGATAAGTTTTCCGACTTCATATTGTTGCATGCATAACCATTACGTAACCTATTGCATGAATTAGCTATTTTGAAATTGTATGGAAAATAAACTGTGTTTATTTTATATATACAAAAGCGCAAATTGTATCCTAATTAATTTTTAACAAGGGAACTCTTTCTACAAGGGCAAGCGCTGTCTGTAATATTACATTGTAACGCAATGTTCTGGCGATGATTGAATCGCGGTCATAGAATTTACTTAATTTTCCGTAGTTCTAATTCAGGCAGTTCTTATTCATGCATGCTGATCTCGAAGAAGAAATAATGGTGCAGTAGCCATACCGCCTTCGAGAAACAAATACCATTTGCAGGGCAGTGTATAGAATTAAATTAATCGTTATATAGCACGCGATAAAAAGCTCGTGGTAAGAAATCGCAAAGTGGTGAAATGCAACTGGGCCAGTATGGCAAAGACCATTATGAAGGAAAAACTGAAAGGGTTATTGTGGTATATAGCTACAGTTTCGTCGCGATTATGCATAAATTTTTAATTATACTTCAGCAGTTTCAGCAGTAATAATTTATTCTGCCACGCGGCCAATCTTTATTTTGGCCAATCGAAATAAATCGTGGTCGCATGTGACATATTTGTGGCGGCTATCTGTAAAACAAGGAACGGGGAATCGGGGAAAGGAATGAGGAAAGGAACGGGGAACGGCAAAACAAGGAATGAGAAAAGCCGGAATCTGTAAAACAAGGAATGAGAAAAGCCGGAATCTGTAAAACAAGGAATGAGAAAAGCCGGAATCTGTAAAACAAGGAATGGGAAAAGCCGGAATCTGTAAAACAAGGAATGAGAAAAGCCGGAATCTGTAAAACCAGGAATGGGAAAAGCCGGAATCTGTAAAACAAGGAATGAGAAAAGCCGGAATCTGTAAAACAAGGAATGGGAAAAGCCGGAATCTGTAAAACAAGGAATGAGAAAAGCCGGAATCTGTAAAACCAGGAATGGGAAAAGCCGGAATCTGTAAAACAAGGAATGAGAAAAGCCGGAATCTGTAAAACAAGGAATGGGAAAAGCCGGAATCTGTAAAACAAGGAATGAGAAAAGCCGGAATCTGTAAAACCAGGAATGGGAAAAGCCGGAATCTGTAAAACAAGGAATGAGAAAAGCCGGAATCTGTAAAACAAGGAATGAGAAAAGCCGGAATCTGTAAAACAAGGAATGAGAAAAGCCGGAATCTGTAAAACAAGGAATGGGAAAAGCCGGAATCTGTAAAACAAGGAATGAGAAAAGCCGGAATCTGTAAAACCAGGAATGGGAAAAGCCGGAATCTGTAAAACAAGGAATGAGAAAAGCCGGAATCTGTAAAACAAGGAATGGGAAAAGCCGGAATCTGTAAAACAAGGAATGAGAAAAGCCGGAATCTGTAAAACCAGGAATGGGAAAAGCCGGAATCTGTAAAACAAGGAATGAGAAAAGCCGGAATCTGTAAAACAAGGAATGAGAAAAGCCGGAATCTGTAAAACAAGGAATGAGAAAAGCCGGAATCTGTAAAACCAAGAATGGGAAAAGCCGGAATCTGTAAAACCAGGAATGAGAAAAGCCGGAATCTGTAAAACAAGGAATGAGAAAAGCCGGAATCTGTAAAACCAGGAATGGGAAAAGCCGGAATCTGTAAAACCAGGAATGAGAAAAGCCGGAATCTGTAAAACCAGGAATGGGAAAAGCCGGAATCTGTAAAACCTGGAATGGGAAAAGTTTGTAACTAAATTAGTTAAAATTTCCGCGCGTAATACAAAATATGCTAATTTGACATGGCTATATTTTCCGTATTTTACCAAATTTCGCAGCCAAACTTAGCATTTCCACTAATTCAAGTACGCTTAATTCTTTTATCTGTTATATGGAACATAAACTGCATTCTTTTGTGGGGCGAAATATATAATACATATATAATTATACAAACGATGAAACGATCACAGGGACTGACAAGGTTAGTTTGCAAACAGTTAAATTTTTGATTTGTCTTATTCATAAACCTACAAAGTGGAGCTTTGCGCGTTGCTATCTACCGTTTAATATCTACATTGCTATTGAAATTGAATAATGTTTGGTTGGAAATGAAAACTTTTTGGATCCAAATTTGAATTTCCAAATTTTCATATGAATTGCATACTGCATGATAAAATATGCAAGAACAACTTCATTAAATACACAATATATATTTTTTTTTCTATATTCAGTTCATTGTATTTACAACTACCTAATATATCAGTATAAATCTATGCAAACAACAATTTTGCTCCATTTAATACATACATGTTAAGCTTATTTTGCAATATATTTGTCATAGTTCATGGTAACAGCTTATCATTATTGAATCAGATTACCCCTGAACAATGCACTACACTTTTGTTGTCCCAAATATAATATAATTTTGCTTGTAAGTAAAATTGTATAGAAAATGAAAATATTTTAGTGCATTTTGTACCTTAATTAACTCAGAATATAATTAAACAGTTACCATTCTCACCCAAGGTTTTAATGACTGGGGGCTGATTAAAAATATACAATAATAATCTGTAAGTAACTAACAGTTGCAATTAATTAAAATCTTGGCTCTTTGAGAACAACTTTGTGTTGGGATGGAATTTTGGAATATACCCTAGGTCTTGTTTAGAAAAGTATAATTTCCAACCAGCATTTACTTTTACAAATAACTTATTCAAATAAAAATGCATTAGAAATTGTGTAGGGAAAACCTAGCTGTGGTTTTCTAGGCTAGCATGATTCAATATGAAAAGCTTTTACTATGAACTATGACTATATAGTGCAAAATAATGTATTAAGTGCAGCAAAATTAATTGTAGTTTGCATAATTATATATGTATTATATATTCCTTCAATCCTTCCTCCACAAAATAATTCAGTTTATGTTCCATATAACTGATAAAAGAATTGAGATATGCTGTTAAATTTTATAATATTACCAGTATATTGTATTTGCTGCTACTTAATATAAATCTACTCTACAGTATGTAAACAACAATAGGATATATTCCAAAATTCCATCCCAACACAAAGTTGTTCTCAAAGAGCCAAGATTTTAATTAATTGCAACTGTTAGTTACTTACAGATTATTATTGTATATTTTTAATCAGCCTCCAGTCATTAAAACCTTGGGTGAGAATGGTAACTGTTTAATTATAATCTGAGTTAATTAAGGTACAAAATGCACTAAAATATTTTCATTTTCTATGCAATTTTACTTACAAGCAAAATTATATTATATTTGGGACAACAAAGTGTAGTGCATTGTTCAGGGGTAATCTGATTCAATAATGATAAGCTGTTACCATGAACTATGACAAATATATATTGCAAAATAAGCTTAACATGTATGTATTAAATGGAGCAAAATTGCTGTTTGCATAGATTTATACTGATATATTAGGTAGTTGTAAATACAATGAACTGAATATAGAAAAAAGAAAGTATATTGTGTATTTAATGAAGTTGTTCTTGCATATTTTATATCATGCAGTATGCAATTCATATGAAAATTTGGAAATTCAAATTTGGATCCAAAAAGTTTTCATTTCCAACCAAACATTATTCAATTTCAATAGCAATGTAGATATTAAACGGTAGATAGCAACGCGCAAAGCTCCACTTTGTAGGTTTATGAATAAGACCAAATCAACAAATTTAACTGTTTGCAAACTAACCTTGTCAGTCCTTGTGATCGTTTCATCGTTTGTATAATTATATATGTATTATATATTCCTTCGCCCACAAAAGAATGCAGTTTATGTTCCATATAACAGATAAAAGAATTAAGCGTACTTGAATTAGTGGAAATGCTAAGTTTGGCTGCAAAATTTGGTAAAATACGGAAAATATAGCCATGTCAAATTAGCATATTTTGTATTACGCGCGGAAATTGTAACTAATTTAGTTACAAACTTTTCCCATTCCAGGTTTTACAGATTCCGGCTTTTCCCATTCCTGGTTTTACAGATTCCGGCTTTTCTCATTCCTGGTTTTACAGATTCCGGCTTTTCCCATTCCTGGTTTTACAGATTCCGGCTTTTCTCATTCCTGTTTTACAGATTCCGGCTTTTCTCATTCCTGGTTTTACAGATTCCGGCTTTTCCCATTCTTGGTTTTACAGATTCCGGCTTTTCTCATTCCTTGTTTTACAGATTCCGGCTTTTCTCATTCCTTGTTTTACAGATTCCGGCTTTTCTCATTCCTTGTTTTACAGATTCCGGCTTTTCCCATTCCTGGTTTTACAGATTCCGGCTTTTCTCATTCCTTGTTTTACAGATTCCGGCTTTTCTCATTCCTTGTTTTACAGATTCCGGCTTTTCCCATTCCTTGTTTTACAGATTCCGGCTTTTCTCATTCCTTGTTTTACAGATTCCGGCTTTTCTCATTCCTTGTTTTACAGATTCCGGCTTTTCTCATTCCTTGTTTTGCCGTTCCCCGTTCCTTTCCTCATTCCTTTCCCCGATTCCCCGTTCCTTGTTTTACAGATAGCCTATTTGTGGCCATCTTATTGGCGTTCAGCGGCTCATTCAACTTCCAGCTTTTTCTGCTTCACATCAACTGCGGGTGACGACTGTTTTCTTCTACACGGGACGCCTTACGAACGTTAACAAAAAGTGTAATAATAGTGCGTTTTACTATGCGTACCCAATTATTTGTTACAATACACTTGTACTACGCTTTCTAAGCGACTCGATCGAAGCTAAACAACACTGCACGTATATTCTCTGTATTCTCGATTAAACCTGAAGGAATGTACGCATATTCTGTCTTCTAGGTCAAACTTAAACAACACTGCAAGCAAACAACACTGCAAGCATACTCCGTCTCGATCAAAACTAAACGAATGTACGCATATATATTCTGTGTACTCTATCGAAGCTAACGGCTCTGCACGCATATTCCGTGTAGTCGATCAAAGTAAACGACTCAGCGCAGATTTTGTGTACTCGATCTAGTTCTTTTATTTCAAAATTTAATAATATATATTAATTATGTTGCTAAGATGAATATGACTATGGGCAATTGACGATCCACAGATTCCCCATTCCCCTTTTAAAGATAGCCCTGATTGGGTGTCGCACACAACTACAGAATATCGGTATATACTGCTTGTATAGCATGTACGTGACATATTCCGTATAGTATCATAAATATTATAGTTAATAGTACCTTTGGCTGGAGAGTATCTCGTCAATGACACATTATCAATAAGCAGAGTAAAATATTAATATTATAGCTAACGAGACTGTGTTCTGCATAGCAGTAAAACATTCGTGAGTGATAATCTCAAGAGATGTAATTCAAATGCTACAAATTTATAAACAGAAATTCAGATAGTACGTAATGAAAGTTACTGTACAGTTATAAAATCTTTGCGTGTGATCGTCTGCGATATAAAAGGTAAAGCAACTATGAATAAGCCATTAACTAATGAAATACGCAAGTTCTAAGGCAGCAAGATTGTGTAGACACAAGCCGGCACTTACCTTTTTCTCTCACGAATTTTCTCGTTAAACAATATCAGACGAACAACGAAGGAAGACCTTTGACAACTCGCAACTCGGCGACGAATGCACCTTGCCACCTGCCCCTGCTTCGCGTCTCTTTTTTGTTTTCTAAGAAGACGAACGATCACGTGAATTATTTCCGGTTGAACAGCTGTATTAGTATAACTCTGTGATGTCATTGTCATTAAGATATCAGAGATTAGACATTAAATCAGACCAGAAGAACGGCACGGCTAAAATGGGTACCCGTGCCCATTTCATCTGTGCTCGGCCTTTGTTTTGGTAGCTTGAACACTAATAAAATTGGGTAAGGGTACCCATTTTAACCGTGCCGTGCCGATAAATTGAGTTCAGTGTAAACGGGGCTTTAGGCATGTTGAAAATTTTCCATCTTTGAAGGATTGTTAAACATTGTAGTAGGCCATGCCTGTCCTCGGATAGAATTGCTACCAGGGACTTGAGACTTGACTAGCATGTGGTAGTGCACCGATGTAGGAAATGCATAAACCCGCCGCACACGTGAGCTATTAGTATTAGCTGAGGTAAAGACCTCAAACGGAACTAAAATTGTATTAATATTTAATCATCTATTTCACAGCTGGAAATATTTTACCCTTGCAGAGGATGGATTTCACTCTTCAATAAGAATAATTATGACATGAAGTCCCTGTGTTTCTTTTTATCAAATGGCACGTTATTGACATCCACGTCAAGCGACATTATTATTACCAATATTGTTTCATTCAGACGGTTAACAAATGCTAAAACTGAGTTGTTTTATTGAGTGCCCATTTATTTGGCATGCAAAAATAGTCTCTTTACACAGGGTTAGAAAGCGCGCAAACAATTAAGCACTGAACATTCTCATGGGTCAATTTTGAAGTGTGCTTGTTATCAAAAATGTTGATACTTTTCAGCTCGAATACTATTGGCTGGTTAATGTTGGCTCATACAATTGGCTGGTCATTAATTTAATAATACTTACGCAATAGGAACGATACGATCAGAAATTAGGCTTGTTTTTTTTGGTGGGCAATTTTAAATTACTTCTGCTCTCTAGCAAGTCTCATCTTTAAATGCATTGCTATCTCTTGAGGTTTGTGCACACAATCCATATTTGTTGAATTCAATTCACTTCTGACGTATGGGATGTAGTGTATTATCGATTAAGCAATACTGAATTGGCTTCAGTGAATTTGCTGCCCATATTTATTGCAATTCAACAGACTATTAAACATCCATCAGAAGTGAATTGGATCCAACAATGTTGGATCGTGTCAACAGACCTGAAGAATCCTTGTACATTATTATAGTTTCACCAAAGAAATTCACGATGGCCACATCAGAAACACAAGTTGTAAAAGTTGCGAACTTGTTATTTCAAAATTGATAATTGATTATTACAATACATGATAATATATAACGCGTAAAGTGCAAATTACTTATAAATTATAATAGTAAGGTACGTATGCAAATTTTGTCACAATGATCGTAATGATCCTGACTAAACTAAAGTATTACTGATAAAATTCATGCAGATATATCGATTACAATTATTCATAAAAATCAATGGTTTCGATATGTTGAAAATTCACGAGTTTTCTGGATTTTCTTTCTGGTCTTCTGTAAGACCATATCATCATTTGATAATTTGCAACGAAATTCATAGAAAGCTCGGAAAATCATTTGACCAAATTTGAGTTGTTTGAGTTTTATTTTATGTTTTTTGTTGACATTGTCATTTGCTGTCACATTCTGAGCGTATAATTTATCGGCGAATATTTTGTCAAAACTCGGAAACCTAGGTTGCTATCAATCCATGCAATTGAACTGCCAGGAAATGAAATAAAATAGAAAAACTGAACCACCTAAGCTTTTTTGCGCTCCCTAGCACATGCAGCACCATATAACACTTGATATCATGTGAAAATTCATGTTTTCCGATATCTTGATTTTGAAACAATGTTTTTGTTTGTATCCATTGCATGTTAATGACGACTCTTTCCTCAATTATTCACGTTCATTTATTCGTTACATCCCGACTTTTTCGCCAAGATTTTTTAGCAGATTATTATCCTCTCTGATCGTCATCAAAATCGCTCATTTCTTCCTTGGAATCCAATCTTTTTCTGTCTCTTTGTTTTCACTTGCTTGTGTGCATGTCATGCATGAGGACAGTGTCTTAAAACCACGTTCATATGACTGTTTATATCTTTTGACAAACGCATCCAATACGGTACAGCCAGTAATCATCTTTGTTCTGAACAGTGGTAGGCTAATCTTTCCAACACGTTGACAATGTTAGTTCCTTAAAAAGCTTTCCATAAAGAAAGAATTTGAAGCTTCGTTCATTTCGTTCGTTTTGTAGTGTCAGCGCTTCACCACTTTGCTCGTTTTCACACACTCTTTCATGTTCGTTTTAGTTTTTTCTGCTCGACTTTTGAAACCTTAAACTGAGTCTTAAAGCTCTCTTCCGTGACATTAGTTCGGCTTCACACGGACGATTGATCAGTTGAAGTCGTTTGCATTGGATGACAATCCAACTCATCGAACGGCCGGCGAGATTAGTTCGACTTTTTCTGAGTATTATTTTCCATGAATTTTCATTTAATTTCAAGTGTTTCGTATAGATGCTGTACATCATTGACGCACATACGCACTTCGCATTTTATGAAACATTTCGACATAGGAATCTGACAGCAAATTCAATGATAGGATAATAATTGGAAGATTAACAGTTTGCGAAATCTGAAATATTTGATAGTCTGAAAAAATAAACGATTAGAAATTTCATACTTTTTTATGGAAATGCAGCACGGATTTTCAACATATCATCGTACCAATTTTATTTTATCATTCGTTCGAATTATGATACACCAGGAGAGTCGACAACGTATCCAGCAAACTCAACGGATAAAGTACATATTGAAACAAATATACGGGAGAAACGTTATCACCTACAGTAACGACATACACTTTAACCTCAAAGTTAACTTTAACCTTTAACCTTTAAAGGTTTAGCCACCTCGGTTAAGTCCTTGTTTGGTTATCAGCTTTTCATTGAAAAAGAAGTCAGCGACACAGAGAGTTCTGATTTTGAATTTTAAATATGAAAACTGAATTAACTGAGAAATGACTAAATACCAAATTATTCAAACAATAATTCCTATTCGTTATAACTATAAACAATTGACGTTTCTTCGGTTAATTTGTATCAATACGAAGTCTGAATTTTTTACGCTAAATGACGCTAAAAATTGGAGGTTGCATCCCCCAGTTAAGATAGTCACTCTACGCCCCTGTAAATAACTTCATATGCACGGTTATCACCGTCACAGTTAGTCAGTGATATTGTGAAAAAGGTCAAACTTGATGGGATTTTTCATATAGTTTAAGTAATAGATCTAAGAATTCTAACTGTAATAAACCATACTGAATATACGCGGACCAATGCATGTGTTCCTCACGAGAAAATCCTCTGACATATTTGCTTGCTGTATCTTGCGTCCTTGTGAGAAAATCTTCTGACATACTTGGTTTATCCTGTGCTCGTCTTCGCCTGTATCTTGCGTCTCTTCACCAGAATCAGCCAGTTTCATGGTTTATTTTGCAGCCCATGGGAACTCGCAGCTCGGAAATGTGGGTAAGGTTTGATTCTTAGGTTATATAAGGTTATATGAAAGCTTCAGAGCATGTCTGTTCTTATTGCAAATGTGAGATTAATTGAATATTTGTGCAATTAAAGGTGATTACATTGAATGTTAGAATGATATGTATAGTGATGTTGCCTGGGCAACGGCTGATATATTTGATTACATGAATATTATTGTTATTTATAAGATTCTATGTTTACTTACTCATCTCGTTTAAACCTAGCTTAATTGTGCATTTTTAAATTTTATTATTCTGGGATCGGTTGTTCAAAAGCGGGTAACTTAACCAAGGGTTAAAGCAAATTTTTAAAACAATTTTTTTCATCGCTTGTTTATAAAAGTTGAATATCTTTTCCATGAGTATTTTCTGGTTCAATAGATGTCATATTTTGTGAAATTTTAAAACAAGCGGTGGTGCCGAAACACGTAAACTAAAACGGCGAATTATAATTTAACCCATCAGGGTTAGCGCTAACCTAACTTTGAACACTGGCCTCTGAGTTACAGTCCCGAAAATGTCTAGTTGGACAATTACTTTTTAAGAGTTATTTTTGAAACACCCATTTGCTATTTTATATCTACAAATGCCTAAACTATATGATAAATGAATGTTAACTGAATTCAACACACGGAAAATAAGAGGCAAGAATGAAAAACGTCTTAGTGACTATTGGGTTTCTCGTCTTTTAATTCCTCCATGTTTTATTTCTGTTCTTCCAGCAGCATGTTGTATTCCTGACGAAGATCACGTTCTGCCACTTCGAATGTTCGATCCTTCCATATTGAAGGGATTTCTGGTTCTTTGACCCCATAGTGTTTACACAATTCTTTCAAGAACTTTCCCATGAACCACTGCCAATATATGGACAACTCAAATGATGGGTCTGGGGGAATTGACCAGGATTTATAATCTTCATTGACCGATTGATAATCTGAGTAAAGACGCCATTCATCATTTGTATCTTTGTTTCGAAATCGCTTACCTGGTTCGGCGACATCGTTCGTACAAATGGAAATACTCAAAATTTTGGTATCGATATCCTTATAACCATTTAATCCCCCTGCACGGTGGTGCTTTGTTGAGTGACCTTCTGGATGATTTGGAGTGGTTTGATCGCACAATCCTTTGCAAAACGGGCAAAAACTTTCACAACCAAACATACGAGTTAACAATTGATCATGCGGAGGTGGATCCCATTTCTCCATAGTAGAGCGATCTATTCTATCGGGGATCAATGATTTAAAAAATTCATCTATGCTTTCCTTGACTTTGGTTTCGAACACATCAATGTCTTTCAGATCGTCATCAATTGCGGCCACGGCAAACATTTCTTTTGTGATTGCCAGTGAAGGACAGTCTTCAACAAATTGCTGAATCCAGAAGGTCAGTTTTTCACCTTTTCTCTTTGTTTCTTCGTTTGCCATTGAAATACCATTCGAAACATCTCCCTTTATCTTGTTGACTTTGATCTCGAGAAGTTCTCTAATGGAGGTAGGGTTCTCTTTTATACAGTAGTTCTCACTTGATTCCACTAATTTCGTTTTTAAAAATTTAACTGAATTTTGAAGATAAGGAATGTACGATTCAAATTTACCTCCCTTTCCAAGTTCAATCAATACACTGGCATGAAATTGAGCTTTGCTCTGAAACGTGCTAACCTCCATTAGTTTTTTTGCAACTGCAGGACCCATGGCGCGGTTTAGCGCTGATTTAATTGGCTCTCGTAGTGCGTTAATAAAGGAAATGGCAGCCCGTAATTCCTTTCCTACTTTCTGGCAACTATTTTGGAAAAATATTTCAAGCGTTGGTCGTAAGGTTCGTTCTAGGTCACCTTTAATATCACGTCCTTCCAAATAGCGTTGTTCCATTTCTTCAAAAATATCGTAGGCGTTAGCAAATATATAAAGCAGGATATCACATTTAAAAGAGTTATCGATTTTAAGTTTAGGTTTCTTTGATTCATTATCAATAGTGGTTATAATTTTGTGATACATTGTTGTAAGGTCATTACGAGTACATCGAACTCTTGATTTCGCTTTGTTTTTAGCAAAGTCAATTGCGTTATCAAATGCTTTGTCAACGATGATTCTTGCTTCTCTACCTTGTTCATTTTGCCTGAGTTTATTTATAAATTTTTCCAAAAAACCTGGATTGCTTCGATAGTCTGGAACTTTTCCTTTAAATTTTGAAACTGTATCGTTCTGTGCATCTAGTTTATCTGACATTTCAGACTTCAAAGTAGTATCTGTGTGGAAAAGAACTTCAACCATCTCATTATTAACGTCAGTTTTCTTTTCTTTACAATCTGGTACCTCCATCATCCATTTCCCCCATTCTTGTTCAAATGTTGCTAAACATTGCTCCGTATCGTCAGCGTTTTCAACTGAAGTTATGAAAATTGTCGCTTTTTGAAGAAACTCTTTTTCAATTTTCTTTTCCTTTTCTTTAACGTCATGTTGATTCTGCAAATGATGATATGCCGCAGAACAACTGTGAACAACGTCTGACCTCTGATTATCTTCCATTAGTTGAATTTTTCTCATGAAGTTTTCTCTCCACTGTTCTAGAGTTGCTTTATCTTCGTTTGTTTCAAAAAAGGTTTTCATAGCAGTTTCCATTTTCTTTCCAAGTTCTTGGGCTCTTTTCCCTATTTGTTTTTGACTACTATTCCATTTTTCATCACGTTCTTCTCGTTTTGTGCATCTTTCCAGAGCTACTTCAATTTCTGTTTTCAAGTCTGACATTCCTGTCATTAAATTCACTGATTCCTCGAAGAATTTTTTGTCCAAAGCCGTAAAGGCTCTGACTTCTATCACGTTACGGAAATTAAATATGAAATTTTCCTTGAGCATAGCCGTCCAGAGGTTACAAACTCTGTCACGAAACTGAGACACAGAAAGTGGGAAACCTTGTTTCGATGACATCACACTAACGATATTTTCCTTTACCTTTTGGATGGCTCTTCCATATTTAGGGTTTACTGGAGCCATTGGTGGATTGCCTTGAAGTAGGCCAGGTATATAAAACACGTCTTCATTTTCATTGAATGACATAATGTCATCCAGTTTTTTTACTTTTTCTTCACAATTTTCTTGAAGAGCTGCAAGTTGAGCCATTTTATCGAGATCTCTCTTGAGATTTAAACGATCAGCAGTTAACTTGTCTCTTGCATCGGCGGCGGCGACATTATGGTGAACAATTTTGCATATCTTTTTCTCTTTCACAAGTTTCATCTTCAAGAAAGCATGCATGGCAATCTCCAAGAATTCTTTCATGTCTTCGTGATTCTCGCCCATGATATTTACTATTGTTAGGTTGGCCACACCAATCACAAAAGTCGCCAGTTCGTTGTCATGTTCTCGTATCTGTGGATCTCCAGATCCTCTCAGACCTTCAGTGTCAACAACCAAAATATAATCAAAGTTTGAAGCATCCTTAAGGGAATCGCTGACAGGAAGAAGACTTGCAAAAGCGCCGCGGGTACACCTTCCAGCACTGACTGGAAACTCTAAACCAAACATTGTGTTTAACATTGTTGACTTACCTGAACTTTGAATTCCTAAAACAGAAATTACAAAAATTTTAGCGTTTTTCGTTTTACTCTCTAGTTTAGTGTAAACAGCCTTGAACCATTCCAATGGAATGTACGAAGAGTCACCATCTAGTATTTCGACAGGGTTTCCTGACAGCAACATTTCCACTGCAACTTCGGCAAAGTCGTATTTTCTTCCTTTGAGTTGGTATAATTGGGCAAATTCTCTAACAATGTGTTCTAAACCAAACGATAGTTTCATTTTTTCCAAAAAGAGTTTTAATTGTTGCTCTTTTAACTCCTGAAGCGATTCTACTTTCCCCCCCCCGTCTTTTCCACGCAATTCTGCCACGACATCGAGAGACATCTTATTCAGCTTATGCTTCAACTTTATCAACGCTTCAACTTGTTTTGGGGGGTCATTCTTCATCTTTGCAAGAGAATCAAAACAGTCGAGAACTCGTTTGTCTAGTTCTTTGAAAGATGTTTTTTGAGCATCCTTTTTGCCTTCGATTCTTTTATATATGTTATCCCTATCATGTGCAACAGATTTGTCACCCTCGCCTTTCGGATGGTATTTTTGTCTTTCAAGGTCCGCCAATTCTGGGACGTGCGCCTGTAATGCTAAAAGGTCTTTAGCTTTTTCTATCCCCACTTCCAACCATTTGCATGTATTCTTCTCAAATTCTGACTGTGTTTCATCGTTTTCCGACGTCTCGTCGTCTTTCACTAAAGGTGCCAAATTCCCTAAAGTTGCCATGCTGCGATTTACAGATGTATCTTGAATTTCATTTACCTTTTCTTCAATCTCTTTCTGAATTGTTGTCACAAATTCGTGTTCATTGGTTCGCCTGAGTCTCTTTATTAAGGAAAACTTTTCACGGTGTTTGCTTTCTTCTAAATCCTTTAATTCTCTTTTTGATTTTGTTTTTTCAGGAAAAATGAGAATGATTTTTGCCTTATCATGCTTTGCTTCTTTGAGAATTTCGTTAATAATCTCGTCTGGATAATTCGAAGGTAGTAAAATACATAAAACAGATGAGATCTTAAACAGAACATTTCGCTGCTTCTTGAAAACGCCAGAGTCGCCTCGTAAATTCGCAAAACAAATTTCTCTTTGGAATGTTTGTTTCTCATTCTCTCCAGGAAGATACCAGCTCAATTCAACCAATCCATCGACTATTTTCCTTTCAAAGTAACCACCCTCCATATCTTCGTGAAAGAAGAAGTCATGATGATTGCTTCCATCGCTCATAATTTTGTTGATCAAGGATGATTTCGACGTGCTAATTTCGCCAATGCGGATGAAAGAAACAACCGGGAATTGATGTTCTGTCACAAAAACTTCGGAGGAACTTTTCCAAGTTTTCGTAATGCCTTTTAAAGACGATGTTAGCATTGTGACTCTCTCAGAAGGCGCCTCAGGGTCAGGTAGAAGAAACGGAATACTGAGTTGACATGCCGCCAATTTTAGGGCAAGATACCGCCGCAAAGAACTGTCGGAAAGATGATAAATGCAAAGCAATGCATCCATTGGGTTAATTCCTTCCTCCTCATCTTCGCGTTCATCGGAATCATTTAAACATTTAGTTTTGTTTTTATTTGATTCTGCTTTAACTTTAAAATCACGCACATGGTAATTAGCTATCAGTATTGTCTTAAAAATATACTCAGGTATTTGTTTAGGGAACTGCAACTCTTTATCGGTAAGTGTGTGGTTATCGACTGTACGTGCGTGTTTTAGAGTAAACTTTGAATTAGGTTCCAAATTTAAATCATTACAAAGTTTAACCAGGGGACTAGGTTTTAAAGGGGGGTGTGGGAGCTGGTCTTTGTTTGCTGATTCATCGATTTGTGCTATGATTGAAAGAAAAAATATTGCTATCTAAATCTGGTCTAATGAACCTAATAATCGCTTGTTGCTTATAGTATTGGGCATGCATTTGAATATTTACGCCGCAATTTTATGGTAATTTTTTATGGTAACGGGACCGTCTTAATTGAGTAGATAAAACCGCAATGATGTACAGTACATAATTACTATGTCATGACCAAAATTTTCAAGTTGTTAGCCTAATCTACATGCATTTCATACCATTCTTTGGATTATGTTGACTTGTACCTTTAGTGGAACTTGCACCAGAATTTTTGGAATCACCAGACGTTTTATGCTTTTCTTTAGCGATTGGCTTAGAACGTGATGTGTTCTCAGGTCTGTCCATGTGTTTTGTCACTTTTGTGGAACAACTTTAAAGGAAAAATAATATTTTGGGTTCTGTATATTCGGTGGGCGGTTTTGATGTTGCCAGCTAGCATAGTTAAATTACATCAGATAAAGCCGGTGATAGATATATTTGCATGGTCACATGTCATGCATGTCTGCAGATTGTACTAATATACGTTCCTTCACTTTGGTGTTGTTGAGCACTCTGGCAAAACTAAATTATTTTTAGCTATCATTTTTACCAGAAAGATCTAGGCCTTCACGGTAATTTTTTTGTGCATGGTGAAAGTCATTTGGTTAATTTACCCAATATTAATCCCCGGACGTTCCGGCGTCAGGGGTTTCATGTACATTTTAGGCAATTGTTAAATTAACCACCTTTTCAAGATGAAATGTTGTTTCGAGACGCTGCCTGCCTCCTGGTTATATTTTTAAATAAATTATCGATTTGGGAACGCCCATCTATCCAAATATTTTTGATTACATACATTTGATTTTAGGATCAGAAAATTCGATATAGCTATTTTAAACAAGTTGAATTTTCAACTCGTATTTGTAAAATTGTAAAACTATGCAACATACATATAAAAATAAACCTTTATTAATTAAGAATTAAAAAACGAGTCGCGTGCCTTTATGGTGTAATAATGCACGATGGGGGAATGTTGGGAGAATGCGAGAGAAGCTGGTAAAACACGAGGCGTAGCCGAGTGTTTTACAAGCTTCTCGAGTATTCTTCCAACATTTCCCCGAGTGCATTATTACACCATAAAGGCACGCGATGAGCTTTTTTAATTCTTTTATAATATAAGAAGAAATTATAGGGCAACAACAAAGTTTATTTATTTGATCAATAATGAAATTCTCCTTACATGTTATTTAAGATGTTGCTTAGCAACAAAGACTTCAAAGCCGGAAGCGTGCATTATGGCCTCACAATGCACGCGCGGTAGCCAATCAAATTGCTCGTTATATCATACTTATATTATAATCAGAAATAATAGTTAGCTGAATTGATTGCCTCTGTTTTTTCAAGCAAAATAAACGTATGATATAAATGCATGCATGTATATACGTGGCAGATATATAAATGATCCATTTGGCAAGGCCCATGTATCCAAACTATTTTTATTTTTATGGCAACGCACTTTTGGCATATCTATAGTTTTTGCGATACGACATAAACTTGAACACATTAAATGAATTTATTTATTGCCAAAAACCTATCAAGACATGCACATACTTTAAATGAAAACAATAAACAAAGTACTTTAAACCACACATTACCCTCCAAAAAATAAAAGGCGAAACTATTTACCTACATTTTAGTCTCCTTCTTGAGTAATATCAGTGAAATAACTCAATGAATATAAAGACTTTGATAAAAACGGAACAGTAATTACGAGAAGCAAAATAATGAGATGTTCGAAAGTATATAAAATTATCTAATTCTTTGAAGGTCAACAACGAGCTCTGATTTCATCATTGGAGTCGTCCGTTGCTAATGAGTGTTTGGATGTCTGTCTTTGTTTTTTCCTTTGGAGACGAGAGATGTAATTTAAATAGAATTTGAGAAGAAACATCTCAGCCTTGACGTTGTTTTTTTGCAAAGTGAAAGTTATTTGATTTATCCAATAACAAATCAGTTTCCAGCAAAGAGATGCGGCTATATCTAATTAATCAATACTTTGCTTTGCGACAGACCAGAGATATTTAGTTAATTTAGACATCAAGCTGGTCGTTTTCAATATTATTTAGAATCATTAAGTCCCTTTTCTTTAGTGCTTAAATTTTAAAATTTCCAAATGAAAAAAGAGCAATTAATAAGAAAATTACTTCCCTCCATGCATTGATTGCCTATATGTTTTTGGAGCAAAATATTTTGGATTTAACTTCCGATTTCACTTAGAAAATCAAATATTTTGAGCAAGCTGTTCATTATAAGTTATTAAAACATGCAATTTAAACTTTTCTATGCTTGTCTTTCATGATAACTAATAAATAATATAAATAATAAATAATACGCTAATATACGTGGGCATGGGTAAAAAATGACACAAGTAAAATAAAAATGCTCCTGGAAGACTCTGCTTGTTGGTTTCGTGAATAAAAGCGCTTTTGATTGTACAATAAAACGAAGAATCTAAAATTTAAGGTGCTGCGGACATAACAATTATTAGATAGCGGTATATAGAAAAATGACGTGGCATAATTAAATACATTATTCATTTCTTAACCGCACTCATTTGTCAAGCTGTATGGTTTTATTGTTAAAACAACTCCCATATATGGTATATCTTGTATTTAAACCAATGCATTATACTTGCAAAAAACCCTTCAAGATACGATACCCACATACAATATTATATGCTTTAATTTTCGCTAACAAAATTAATGAATAGAATAATGTTTTATATGCCTGTTTAGTTGTATATAAATCACGCTATGATTGACAAACACATAAAAATCAACTGGATTTACCTACTACGTATTTTTCTTCTTGGATAATATCAGGCATACGGCGGAGTAGATTATTTTACTGATGAATATTGAACAGCTAGACTTTATGAAAAACACTCAGAGCGAGATAACGCTTAGAATCAACAAATGAGCAATAAACTCTGCAAGTTTCCTTTATTGGCGTCGTAATACTAATACTTGCTCAAATTTTTCTTGCTATGATTCTGTACATTCACAGCTTACTGAGCTACATAATTCTCTCGAGTCTTCAACGGTTAATATCGTATAATATGAGAAAGAATGACAACAAACGAAGGTATAAATAAATTGATTTTCAAAGAAAGACGAGGGATATAAATTAAATTGTTTTTCAACAGAAAGACCTCAGTCATAACGTTATTCTTTTGTGCAAAGTGAAAGTGGTACGGTTTAGCCAATAGCACATCAGTTTCCAGCAGAGAGATCCCGTAGACTGTAGCCAATTATCCAATTAACTTAAGGTGCTGGGGACATAACAATTATTAAATAGCGATAGAAACCTTGTTGCATACGTGGAATCGATAAATTATTCATTTCCTATAACCGCACCCATTTGTAAACTGGTTTCATTTTTATAAATTTCTATGGTATATCAACTGTATTTAAATCAATCCTTTTACTTGCAAAAACCTTATAACTGCGCCCAGGAATACGGCACCCAGGCATACGGCGAAGTAAATTATTTTTATGATAAAAGATGAAGGCAGGACTTACCTTCTTTTCCACGAATTCTCTCGTTAAACAATATCAGACGAACAACGGAGAAAGACCTTTGTCAACTCGCAGCTCGGCGACGAATGTTGTTGTACAGCTGCCTCTGCTTCGCCTCTCTTTTTGTTTTCTGTGAAGACGAACGATCACGTGAATTATTTCCAGTTAAACATGTTGAGCAACTTAAGCGGTATTATAACGTGGCAGTTTTCTGGTTAATTGTGGATATGCGATTTCCTGCTTTAGCATATATATTGGATTTATTATATACCACTTGTCAAAGTTTTGTTTTCGTAGCGTTTCATTGGTCGAGAGAAAATCACGCGCCCGAGAGTGACAAAATTTTGATGTCGCCAGCGCGCGACCCCCTGCAGAGTGGGATAACCTTGTTATCTCATGGAAAATAACAACTTTTGTCCATTTCAAATTATGTCTTTTATGAATAGATATTTCGTTTACCTTGTAGTTTGTTTTTTCTTTGACAAGTGGTATATAATAAAAGAAATATTTGCCGAAAACTCAGAAAACATTATGTTTTGTGGACCCTCGACAAATCGATATTTCACTCGGCTTCGCCTCTCGAAATATCGACAGGTCTCGGGTCCACAAAGCATAATGTTTCCTTCGTTCCCAGTAAATAAGTGTTAAATAATATATAATATATATATTGATTGACTACTGGTTCTCATTGTCATTGAGATTATGAAAGAATTAGAATTCAATTCCCCGAAATCGCAATCGAAACAAAAAACAGGAAATTGGTCTTGAAATCAGACCAGAAGTTATATCGAAACTGGTATATTTGTAGATCTTGATCACCTGTTTCACAGCTGGAAATATTTTACCCATGCAAAGGATGGTTAGGATTATTTTTGGCTGGAGAGTATCTCGTCAATGATACATTATCAATAAGCAGAGTAAGATATTAATATTATAGCTACTAACGAGATTGTGTTCTGTATTATAGTAAAACATTCGTGAGTGATAATCTCAAGAGGTGTAATTCAAATGCTACTAATTTATAAACAGAAATTCTGAGAGGACGTAATGAAAGTTATTGTACGATTACAAAATCGTTCCGTGTGATCGTCTGCGATATAAAACGTAAAGCAACTATGAATAAGCCATTAGCCAATGAAATACGCTAGTTATAACTCTTCTAAGGTAGCCAGGTTGTGTAGACACAAGCCAGTACTTACCTTCTTTTCTACGAATTCCCTCGTTAAAAAATACCAAACGAACAACGGAGGAAGATCATTGACAACTCGCAACTCGGCGACGAATGTTGTTATACAGCTGCCTCTGCTTCGCCTCTCTTTTTGTTTTCTGTGAAGACGAACGATCACGTGAATTATTTCCAGTTAAACATGTTGAACAACTTAAGCGGTATTATGACGTGGCAGTTTTCTGGTTAATTGTGGATATGCGATTTCCTGCTTTAGCATATATATTGGATTTATAATATACCACTTGTCAAAGTTTTGTTTTCGTAGCGTTTCATTGGTCGAGAGAAAATCACGCGCCCGAGAGTGACAAAATTTTGATGTCGCCAGCGCGCGACCCCCTGCAGAGTGGGATAACCTTGTTATCTCATGGGAAATAACAACTTTTATCCATTTGAAATTATGTCTTTTATGAATAGATATTTCGTTTACCTTGTAGTTTATTTTTTCTTTGACAAGTGGTATATAATGAAAAAAATATTTACCGAAAACTCAGAAAACATTATGTTTTGTGGACCCTCGACAAATCGATATTTCGCTCGGCTTCGCCTCTCGAAATATCGACAGGTCTCGGGTCCACAAAACATAATGTTTCCTTCGTTCGCAGTAAATAAGTGTTAAATAATATATAATATATATATTGATTGACTACTGGTTCTCATTGTCATTGAGATTATGAAAGAATTAGAATTCAATTCCCCGAAGTCGCAATCGAAACAAAAAACAGGAAATTGGTCTTGAAATCAGACCAGAAGTTATATCGAAACTGGTATATTTGTAGATCTTGATCACCTGTTTCACAGCTGGAAATATTTTACCCATGCAAAGGATGGTTAGGATTATTTTTGGCTGGAGAGTATCTCGTCAATGATACATTATCAATAAGCAGAGTAAAATATTAATATTATAGCTAACGAGATTGTGTTCTGTATTGTAGTAAAACATTCGTGAGTGATAATCTCAAGAGGTGTAATTCAAATGCTACTAATTTATAAACAGAAATTCTGAGAGGACGTAATGAAAGTTATTGTACGATTACAAAATCGTTCCGTGTGATCGTCTGCGATATAAAACGTAAAGCAACTATGAATAAGCCATTAGCCAATGAAATACGCTAGTTATAACTCTTCTAAGGTAGCCAGGTTGTGTAGACACAAGCCAGTACTTACCTTCTTTTCTACGAATTCCCTCGTTAAAAAATACCAAACGAACAACGGAGGAAGATCATTGACAACTCGCAACTCGGCGACGAATGTTGTTATACAGCTGCCTCTGCTTCGCCTCTCTTTTTGTTTTCTGTGAAGACGAACGATCACGTGAATTATTTCCAGTTAAACATGTTGAACAACTTAAGCGGTATTATGACGTGGCAGTTTTCTGGTTAATTGTGGATATGCGATTTCCTGCTTTAGCATATATATTGGATTTATTATATACCACTTGTCAAAGTTTTGTTTTCGTAGCGTTTCATTGGTCGAGAGAAAATCACGCGCCCGAGAGTGACAAAATTTTGATGTCGCCAGCGCGCGACCCCCTGCAGAGTGGGATAACCTTGTTATCTCATGGGAAATAACAACTTTTATCCATTTGAAATTATGTCTTTTATGAATAGATATTTCGTTTACCTTGTAGTTTATTTTTTCTTTGACAAGTGGTATATAATGAAAAAAATATTTACCGAAAACTCAGAAAACATTATGTTTTGTGGACCCTCGACAAATCGATATTTCACTCGGCTTCGCCTCTTGAAATATCGACAGGTCTCGGGTCCACAAAACATAATGTTTCCTTCGTTCGCAGTAAATAAGTGTTAAATAATATATAATAAATATTGATTGACTGCTGGTTCTCATTGTCATTGAGATTATGAAAGAATTAGAATTCAATTCCCCGAAATCGCAATCGAAACAAAAAACAGGAAATTGGTCTTGAAATCAGACCAGAAGTTATATCGAAACTGGTATATTTGTAGATCTTGATCACCTGTTTCACAGCTGGAAATATTTTACCCATGCAAAGAATGGTTAGGAGTACTTTTGGCTGGAGAGTATCTCGTCAATGACACATCAATAAGCAGAGAAAAATATTAATATTATAGCTAACGAGATTGTATTCTGTATTGTAGTAAAACATTCGTGAGTGATAATCTCAAGAGGTGTAATTCAAATGCTACTAATTTATAAACAGAAATTCTGAGAGGACGTAATGAAAGTTATTGTACAGTTATAAAATCTTTGCATGTGATCGCCTGCGATATAAGACGTAAAGCAAGTATGAATAAGCCATTACCTAACGAAATACGAAAGTTCTAAGACAGCAAGGTTATGTAGACACAAGCTGGTACTTACCTTTTTCTCTACGAATTCCCTCGTTAAACAATATCAGACGAACAACGGAGGAAGACCTTTGTCAACTCGCAACTCGGCGACGAATGTTGTTGTACAGCTGCCTCTGCTTCGCCTCTCTTTGTGTTTTCTGTGAAGACGACCGATCACGTGAATTATTTCCAGGAATTCGAGTTTAACATGTTGAGCAACTTAAGCGGTATTATAACGTGGCAGTTTTCTGGTTAATTGCGGATATGCGATTTCCTGCTTTAGCATATATATTGGATTTATTATATACCACTTGTCAAAGTTTTGTTTTCGTAGCGTTTCATTGGTGGAGAGAAAATCACGCGCCCGAGAGTGACAAAATTTTGATGTCGCCAGCGCGCGACCCCCTGCAGAGTGAGATAACCTTGTTATCTCATGGGAAATAACAACTTTTATCCATTTGAAATTATGTCTTTTATGAATAGATATTTCGTTTACCTTGTAGTTTGGTTTTTCTTTGACAAGTGGTAATAAAAAAGAATATTTACCGAAAACTCAGAAAACATTATGTTTTGTGGACCCTCGACAAATCGATATTTCACTCGGCTTCGCCTCTTGAAATATCGACAGGTCTCGGGTCCACAAAACATAATGTTTCCTTCGTTTGCAGTAAATAAGTGTTAAATAATATATAATATATATATTGATTGACTACTGGTTCTCATTGTCATTGAGATTATGAAAGAATTAGAATTCAATTCCCCGAAATCGCAATCGAAACAAAAAACAGGAAATTGGTCTTGAAATCAGACCAGAAGTTATATAGAAACTGGTGTATTTGTAGATCTTGATCACCTGTTTCACAGCTGGAAATATTTTACCCATGCAAAGGATAGATTTCCCTATTCAATAAGAATGTAAATATGACATGAAGTCCCTATGTTTCTTTTTTATGAAATGGCACGTTACTGACATCCACGTCAAGCGACATTATTATTATCGATATTGTTTCATTCAGACAGTTAACAAATGCTAAAACTGAGTTGTTTTATTGAGTGCCCATTTATTTGGCATGCAAAAATAGTCCCCCTTTACACAGGGTTAGAAAGCGCGCAAACAATTAAGCACCGAACATTCTTACGGGTCAATGTTGAGGTGTGCTTGTTATAAAAAATGTTGATACTTATCAGCTCGAATACTATTGGCTGGTTAATGTTGGCTCTCGAATACTATTGGCTGGTCATTAATTTAATAATACTTACGCAATAGGAACGGACACGATCAGAAATTAAGCTTGTTTTTTTGGTGGGCAATTTTAAATGATTTCTGCTCTCTAGCAAGTCTCACCTTCAGTAAAAGAGCATGCTTTGCTATCTCTTAAGGGCCGTTCACACGATCTAACTTTGTTAAATTCAATTCACTTCTGACGTATGGGATGTAGTGTATTATCGATAAAGCAGTACTGCTTTGGCTTCAGTGGATTTGCTGCCCATATTCATTGCAAGACAACAGACCATTAAACATCCATCAGAAGTGAATTGGATCCAACAAACTTTGATCGTGTGAACAGACCTTTTAAAAGAATCCTTGTACATGCATTATTATAGTTTCACCAAAGATATTCACGATGGCCACATCAGCAACACAAGTTGTAAAAGTTGCGAACTTATTATTTCCAAATTGATAATTGATTATTACAATACATGTTGATATATAACGCGTAAATGTGCAAATTACTTATAACTTATATTACGTATATGCAAATTTGTCACAATGATCGTAATGATCCTGACAAACTAAAGTACTACTGCTAAAATTCATGCAGATATATCGATTACAAATATTCATAAAAATCAATGGTTTCGATATGTTGAAAAATCACGAGATTTTGGATTTCCGTTCTGGTCTTCTGTAAGTCCATATCATCATTTGATAATTTGCAACGAAATTCATGGAAAGCTCGGAAAATAATTTGACCGAATTTGAGTTGTTTGAGTTTCATTTTATGTTTTTTGTTCACATTGTCATTTGCTGTCACATTCTGTATAAATTTATCGGCGAATATTTTTCAAAACTCGTAAACTTATCAATCCATGCAATTGAACTGCCAGGAAATGAAATGAAATAGAAAAACTTGAACCGCCTAAGCTCTTTTCGTTCCTTAAACACATGCAGCATTACACAACACTTGATATTATGTGAAAATTCATCTTTTTCGATGTCCAAGCCACGGCAGTCTTCATCTCGACTGTACCGGTTCACAAACTCAGCATCTCAATATCGGAATATCTTGATTTTGAAACAATCTTTTTGTTTGTATCCATTGCATGTCATGACGATTCTTTCCTCAATTATTCACGTTCATTTATTCGTTATATCCCGACATTTTCGCCAAGATTTTTTAGCAGATTATCATCCTCTGTGATCGTCATCAATATCACTCATTTCTACCTTGGAATCCAATCTTTTTCTGTCCCTTTGTTTTAAATCCACGTTCAGAGGACTGTTTAGGCGTAATATATAGTTTTATCGGCCACATTTTTGGCATATCAGAAAACGTATCAAAACGTACCAATTGAACTTTTCAAGCTAAGCAATGGGTTTAAGTAGATAAATTAAACCGCCAAAGGCTATAAGCACAACACTTGATTACATTTGAAAATTTGTATTTTTCGATGCAGAACCTCAACATACAATCTTCGTCTTCGTTGTATCGCTTTTCAGTTTATTTTTTAGTCGCGAACTCAGCATCTCAATGTCGGAATATCTTGATTTCGAAACAATGTTTTTATTTGTATCCATTGCATGTCATGCATGACGACTCTTTCCTCACGTCTCCTTAAACATTATATTCTGGCATTTTCTCCAAGATTTATCAAGACAAGTTTATTATCCCCTGTGATTGTTTTCGCCCCCGTTCGCTTGCTTGTACATGCCATGAGGACAGTTCTTTCAAATCCACGTTAAGGACTGTTTATAAGCTTTTGAAATACGTAGCGTTAACACCGGTATGTACGTACAGCTAGTACTGTTCATTTTTATAAACATTTGAAATCGTTACTCAGTCCTGTGGCAATCTTTCCCAAACTTTGACAATGTTAATTTTCTTGAAAAAAAATACAATTTCAAACTTCGACTATTTCGTTCGTTCTATAGTGTCAATAGTCGATTTTTAACCATGCTTCAGTTGTGCTTTACCACTTAGCTTGACGTTGTTAGACATTCTTTTAAGTCTTTATGCTCTACTTTTGTAGGCTTATTTTTTTCTCTTTTCGTGCATGCATGGTACGTAACTCTACCTAATGACATCAGTACAGCTCCACCCGGACGATTGATCAGTTGAAGATCATATTTTGTGAATTTTCATTTAATTTCAAGTATTTCGTGTAGATGCTGTACCTAATTGTTGCACCTGCGAACTTCACATTTTGGAAACATTTCGGCATACGAATGTGACAGCAAATTCAACGATGAAGTAAATTAGAAGATAGCAGTTACAAAATCTGTAGTATCAGATAATTTGTAAGACTAACAATTAGAATTTTTTTTAAAGTTTTTTTCCATAGAAATGCAGCAAGGATTTTCGACATATCATCGTACCAATGATTTTATTTATCATTCGTTCAAATCATTTTTTTGAGTGCTTCTTTTCTCATGGAAACCTTTAAATTAGATTGTTATATATTTAGCGTCAAAATTAAATGCCCCTGGATTTTTATCGCGAAAGAATATCGCGAATATTCATGACAGAAATGTATCGTGGTTCTGTAAATTGAATAGGAAAGCAAGTAGCTAACTTTTGTTTGTTGTTTACCAACTTTTCAAATCATTTTTAGGACTCTAAATTATTAACGTTTCGTCGGTCCAACTTTGACTTTGAGTTTGCATGTTTTTTTTTTCGTTTTGACGGTAAATATAATAACAATAAAATGCTTATTTATACCTTGAGAAGTCTGAAACGACTATATATATATATATAGTCTGTTTTTCTACTCTATAAGTAAATAACGTATACACGGTTCTGACCGTTACTATTAGTGTCATAAAACTTGTGAAAAAAAATTATTTAGAAATTTGAACTAAGAGTTCATATCATGCAACTATACCATTAACAACGCTTCCTTATGAGGAATCCTTTGACGTGTTTGGTTCATCGCCTGCTTTTCTATGCTTGCATCTTGCATCTTTCCACCAGAATCAGCCGCTTTCAAGATTGCTTTCCCCAAACAGAATTCGTTGCATTTGCCCTTTTTATATATGTATTGTAGAGTTTAGGTGTATGTCTGTTCTTTTGAAAATGTGAGATTAATTTAATATTTATGCAATTAAGTTATATGTATATGTAAGCTATACTGTTCGAAATTTAGAGTGTATATAGATTATGACTGTGCATGTAGCTATTTATTGTTTTCCGTGTCAATGGTAAAATCAGTAATAGCCCTGCTGCCTGCTTTATATATGATTACAAGAGTATATTATTTACCGGGTTTTTACTTTTTACGCTATACTTACCAAATTTAAACCCACATCATGCACGTGTTAAAATTCATCATTTTATAAATGATAGTTCTGAAGGTTATATGAGACAATTGCTTTATTTATTTAGTTTATGATATATGTAGATTTCATTGCTAACCCCTTTTTCAAACGTATTATGTGCACTCGAGCAAAGTAGAGATTACATTTAAAGTGTAGTTGATTGCTTTACTGCGACTAAGACATGTTCAAATCTGACTAGAATTAGTTTGAAGAAGTGATACAGCCGAAGACGTAAGCTCCATTCAGGTATATAGGTCTTATTTGAGAAATTAATTGCTGTTAAAAGTGCAAATAAGAAAAATTAACAATCTAGGATGTTAGCTACTTTAATCTCCAAATTCCTAAAAAATACTACGTGCACGAACGTACAAACAGATATAGATAACAAAAGAGACAAGATTAGGGACGTCTTAGGAACTACTGGACTCTGTTGGCTGACTTGGTTCTTTCGAAACCGGGAGAATTTTGTATTCCTGACGAAGATCATGTTCCACTTCTTCGAATGTACGATCATCCCATGTTGATGGGATTTCTGGTTCTTCGACCTCATAGAAATTTGCCAATTCTTCCGAGAAGTTAGCCATGAACCACTGCCAATATTTAGATAACTCAAATGAGTCATCTCCAGGAATATGCCACGATTTATAATAATCATTCACCAATTGATAATCCTTGTAATAATGCCATTCCCCGGCTGTTTCCTTGTTTCGAAAACGTCTTTTTTCATCAGCGACATCGTTAGTGCAAATGGTACTACACAATATTTTTGTGTCGACATTGTGATAACCACTCAATCCCTGCGCGCGATGAATTCTTGTAGAGTGATAACCCGCATGATTTTGATTGGTTTGATCGCATAAACCTTTGCAAAATGGACAACAACTTTGACAACCAAATATCGAAGAGAACAAGTGATCGTGCGGGGATGGATCCCATTCCTCCATAATTGAATCATCTATTCCACGCTCGATTAACGATACAAAAAATTCATCTATCTTTTCCTCAACTTGGGTTTCAAACACATCAATGTCTTTCAGATCGTCATCAATTGCGGCCACGGCAAACATTTCTTTTGTGATGACCAACGAAGAACACTTCGACACGAATTGCTGGATCCAAAAGGTCAGTTTTTCACCCTGATTCTCTGTTTCTTCCTTAGCAAATGAAATACCAGTCGAAACATCTTCTTTTAACTTGCCGACTTCTATTTTGAGAACTGAGATGATGGCATCAGGATCTTCATTTATGCAATAGTCTTCAATTGATTCCATTAATTTCGCCCTTAGAAATTTAACTGGATTTTGAAGATAAGGAATGTACGATTCAAAATTTGCCTCTTTGCCAAGTTCAATCAATACACTGGCATGAAATTGACCTTTGCTCTGAAACTTGCTAACTTTCAAGACTTGTTTTGCTACTGCGGGACCCATGGCGCGGTTCAGCGCTGATTCAATTGGTGTTCGAAGTACATCCACAAAGGAGGTAGCAGCCGACATTTCTTTTCCCATTTTATCGCAGAGATTTTTGAAATACGTTTCTAGCCTTGGTCGAAGGTTCTTTTCAAGATCGCCTTTTATATCTCGTTCTTCCAAATAGCGTTGTTCCATTTTTTCAAAAATGTCGTAAGTATGTGCAAATGCATAAAGCAGGATATCACATTTAAACAAATCGTCGAATTTAAAGCTAGATTTTTTTGCTTCTTTGTCCAAGGTTTTTATAACTTTTTGGTACATTTCTATAAGGTCATTGCGAGTACATCGAACTCCTGATTTTGCTTTTTTTTTCGCAAAATCAAGTGCGCTATCAACTGCTTGATCATTGATGTTTCTGCCAGACGAATCTTGTTGTTTATTAAACAAGTTAAAGAATTTGGCCATTGTTTGGACGCTCCTTTGAACCAGTGAACTGGAAGTGAGCACCGGAACTATTTTCTTGAAGTTTAATATTTGATAATTTTGCTTTTTTATCTTCTCTGTCATTTGCGTATTCAGAGCAGGGTTAGTTTCGCAAAGAACATTTACCATTACGTCAGCGACGTCAGTTTTGCTTTCCTGATAATGTGGAATGTCTGCCATCCATTTCTCCCATTCTTGTTCGAAAGCCGCTAAGCATTTCTCTGCATCATCAGTATTTTGAGCTGAAGTTATGAATTTTTTTGCCTTGTAAAGAATCTCTTTCTCAAAGCTTTGCTTCTTTTCATCGACGTCTTGACGATTTTGTAAATAACGAAAAGCTTCTGAGCAATAGGTAGTGACTTCTAATTTTTGATTCTCTTCCATTTGTTTGATTTTCAACATGGTGTTTTCCCTCCACTGCTCAAGAGTTGCTTTATCTTCATTTTCTTCAAAGAAGCGTTTCATAGCTGTTTCCATTTTTTTCCCAAGGTTTGCTGCTTCATTCCATATCTGTTTTCTACTTTCCTTCCATTCTTCTTCCCGTTCTTCTCGTGTTGTGCATCTGCTTAGAGCTACTTCAATTCTTGTTTTCAGCTCTGTCATTCCTGTCACCATCAAATTCACTGATTCTTCGAAGTATTTTCGGTCTAAAGCCGCATAGGCTCTAACTTCAATTACATTACGGAAATTAAAAATGAAATTTTCCTTCAGCATAGCATTCCAAAGGTTGCAGACCCTCTCTCGAAACTGAGCAATCGAAAGTTGGAAACCATGTTTCGAAGAGCTTATATTTTTCTTTTACCTTTTGTACAGCTCTTCCATAGTTGGGGTTTACTGGAGCCATTGGTGGATTACCTTGAAGTAGGCTTGGTATATAAAACACGTCTTCATTTTCATTGAATGATATTATATCATCCAATTTTTGGATTTCTTCTTCACAATTCTCTTGAATAGCAGCTAGTTTTGCCATTTTATCGAGATCTTTCTTCAGTTTTAAACGGTCATCGGTCAACTTGTCTCTTGCGTCGGTTGCAGCAACGTTCTGGTGAACAATTTTACACGTCCTTTTCTCTTTTGCAAGTTTCATCTTCAGGAAAGCATGCATGGAAATCTCCAAGAATTCTTTTATATCGTTGTGATTCTCGCCCATGATATTTACTATGGTCAAGTCGGCGACACCAATAACAAAAGTTGCCAATTCATTGTCATGTTCTCGTACCTTAGGATCTCCAGATCCTGAAAGACCTTCAGTGTCAACGATTAAAACATAATCAAACTTTGAAGCAATGTTCAGGGATTCACTCACAGGAATAAGGCTAGCAAAAGCGCCGCGAGTACACCTTCCTACACTGACTGGAAATTCTAAACCAAACATTGTGTTTAACATTGTTGACTTACCTGAACTTTGAATACCTAAAACGGAAATTACAAATATTGTGGCATTTCTAGTTTTCTTCTCTAGCTTAGTATAAACAGCTTTGAACCATTCCAATGGAATGTACGAGGAGTCGCCATCTACTAACTCAAGAGATTGTCCTGAAAGCAACATCTCTGCTGCAACATCCGCAAAGTCGTATTTGCTTTCTCCAAGTTGGTAAAGCTGGGCAAGTTCTCTGATGATGTGCTCTAAACCAAACGAGGATTTGGATTTCTCTCGAGAATGTTTTAAGCGTTTTTCTTTTAATTCCTGGGACGTTGCTGCCTGTTTTTTCTGATCTTCTCCATGCAATTCTGCCATGACACGGAGAGACATCTTATTCAACTGATGCTTCAACCTAGTCAACGCTTTAACTCGTTCAGTCACATTCATCTTTGAAAGGGAATCAAGAAAGTCAAGAAATCGCCTATCCAGTTCTTTAAACGATTTCTTTTGCTTTTTTTTTTCATCTTTAATTTTTTTATATATTTTGTCCATATCATCTTTAAGAGATTTGGTACCCCGGCCTCTGGGTCGATATTTTTCTCTTTTCAGGTCCGCCAATACTGGGACGTGCAATTGTAATTTCAGATGGTCTTTAGCTTCTTTTATTCCGATTTTCAACCATTTGTCAACGTTTTCTTCAAATTTGGTTTGTGTTTGACCGATGTTATAATTGATACAATGTTCACTTGCAAGAGATGCCAAGTTTCTTAGAGGCGTTGTTTGAACATCTTGTAGCTTTCCTATAACTTTTTCTTGTATAATTTTCACAAATTCGTGTTCATTGGCTCGCTTAGATCTCGTTATTGAAGATAACTTTTCGCCCTCCAGCTGTTTGAAGTACTGCTTTGTTTCTTGCCCTGGTTTTTCAAGAAAAATGAGAATGATTTTTGCCTTGTCATCCATCGCCTCTTCCAGTATTTTCTTACTGGTCTCGTCTGGATACTCCGAAGGTAGTAAAATACATAAAACGGTTGAGATTTTCGAGAGGATGTTTCGCTGCTTCTTGAAATCTTTAGCGTCTCCTCGTAAATTCATGAAACAAATTGCACTTTCAAATGATTTTTTTTCACCATCTCCTGGAAGATACCAGCTCATTTCAACCAATCCATGGACTATTTTTCTCTCAAAATGCCCACCTTCCATGTCTTTGTGGAAGAAGAAGTCGTGTGTAATGTCTCCATCACTCATAATTTTGTTGATCAAGGATGATTTCGATGTTGTGACTTTGCCAATGCGAACGAAAGAAACCACTGGAAACGGATATTCTACTACAAAAACCTCGGGAGAATCTTTCCAAGATTTCGTGATGCCCTCAACAGACGACAGCAGCATGGTAACATTTTCAGATGGCACTTTTGGATCAGGCAAAAGAAACGGAATACTAAGTTGACATGTCGCTAATTTTAAGGTAAGATAACGCCGCAAAGAATCATCCGAGAAATAAAAAATACAAAGCAATGCATCCATTGGGTTCACTCCTTCGTCCTCATCTTCGCTGTCATCGGAATCTTTGCTTTGTTTAGTTCTGCTTATATCTTGGGTTATTTTAAATTTGCGCACATGGTAATTAGCCATCAATATTGTTTTAAAAATATACTCAGGTATTTGCTCAGGGGATTTTAGCTTTTCATCAGTAAGTGTGCGATTATCAATTGTTCGTGCGTCTTTTAAAGTAAACTTGGAATTAGGTTTTAAATTTAATTCATTACATAATTTAAACAGGGCACCAGATGTTGCTAAAGCGTCTGGGGATTGATCTTCACTTGCACTTTGTTTGGTTTTTGCTGTATTCAGAGGAGAAAAAAAATAAACATGAACTATGAGAGAAAGGTTGAAGAGGCATTTATTATGATTAGAACTTATTGTCTATTCCATTGAATTGTTTCTTTTGTTAATATTATATATCATATATATTGTGTAGTTTCGTTCTTTGAAAAATCCGATTTTATTGCGCATGCCTGATACATTACAGGTTTGATAGCATATATATAGATCAGTGCAGACGCAATTTTCAGGTCATCAATAACTGCATGGTGCGTAAATCTCTGCCTGAACAGCAGAAAATAACGAGGTTGTTTTCATTATCACGTTGCGTGAAGCTCCTGTACCCCGGTGGCGTTTTCTTATTTATTTGCTTGCCTCGAATTACCATGTTCTCTTCGTAGTGGAGAATAGCAGTTTTACATTTGCGAACCTAACTGTATATAGCTTAATCTTACTGTGAAGATCTTGGTTTGCTATTTCTCTACTACGGACCTTGCATGCACATTTTTCGCATGTGCAAACATGCGGAAATACACACTTTTCACGTGGTTGTTTTTGACAAACATTGTTTGTCGATTCTATGGCGATTAGTTTAAGACGGTCGAAATTCAAACGGTGAAATAAATAACACTTTTCTTTCCATTTTCTTCAGTTTACTATCAGAATCTTCCCATTAGAATTGGCACTTTATTCAAAGCAATATAACAAATAATAGTTTTATAGATTCGTCCAGATTACGTTGTTGATCTTGGGTATACGAATTAAAAACGTCACGTACAACAGAACATACAATATATGCATGTAAGCTAGCATGTTATATTATATAAATTCACAATTCATACCATTCTCTGAAACATTCGTGTCGGTTTTTTCAGCTCTACCAGAATCACTAGTTTTGTTTCGCCTTTTAGGCTTTTCTTTAACAATTGGCTTGGCTTTGGAGTTTGATGTTTTCTCAGCTTTCTCCATGTCTGTTGTACAATAACTTTAAGAGAAAAATATCAACATTCGGGGTTGTGTCTGCGTTTGTTGTAGCTTGTTTAAGAGGGATTTTACTATTTACATATCAAACTGAATGTCGCTCCATATGTTGCTTTTAATTCATGCGCTTCTTAAAAATTCATGTAACCAGCCAATTAAATATGTCATAGCAATATAGTATACATAATATCGGAGTCGTAATGGTCAAGTGGAAGTAAAAACTCTATAATATATGGCAAAATGAATTACACCAATTAACGGTCTTCTTCTGAGCAGTGTAACCAAAAGGTATTAGCCACATATTCGCCACTAAATTGAATCCACTAAAATGAACTGAATATAAATTGTGGCTGGGATGAGGAATCTAGAAGCAACAAGCCGAATCAAACGAAACACAAAGAATAATAAGTTAATCAATTCAAGTTAATTCGTCAAGTAATTCGAAATGCCATTTAGCCTATTACGTTACGTGTTTCTTGATAAATAAACGAGGGTCTCCCAGGGGGGGGGGGGGTACGAGTTCCTGTATTCCCTTCAAAATTGTCACTTTGTTCCCTTGCTCCCTTGCAAAATTTAACCATGACACCATGTTCCCTTATTCCCCTTTATAAATTGAATTTTGTTTCGTTATTCAGAAAATGCAACAGATTATCCTCGCTATCATCCATTATATTAATACTGACGTACGCCCACTTAATTACGTAAGTACGCCCACTTACACCCACACAAAATTAAACAGAAAAATACAATCATGAGCCTGGACATGTTGCTGTTTTAAGAAAAACAGTACTGAAGAAGACTATAATATTATATAATGCTAGTCTTCATGGAAATATTGACAGTATTACTATTACGCGTAAAAACTCCCCAGCTAGATCAGAAAATGATATGCACATTTTTTTATTTACAATATGTTAGGCAATTGTTCCTAGAAAAGTAATCTATTCCAACTGCAACCATTCTTCCATAGGCTTACAGGAGATGAGTTATGGGAAATGCGAGCCCTGTCGCCTGACTACTAACTGGAATTGCCACCCATAGCTACATTTCACCCCACTAAACCAAAATCCCCTGTATTTCAACCTAATCAATCTCCCATACTCCCGAAACTTCTCACCCAAAACTTAACCCTATATTACAACCATAGTCACCCCCCCAAACCTTTTTGTGGAACCCGCCGAGATGCCAACCCTAGGCAACCCCGAAGGGCATAAAAGGATCAGTTGCCCGCACCTATAGGTCGACAAAACGGTGTATCGAAAATAGGGAAGAAAGGATTAACGTGTTGTTAACAACACGGCTTAACTTTTCGAGTATGTCTAATATCAACCAACCCTAATTCTCATACATAGTGCAATAATTTCTTTGGCCACAACCAGTACTAGTTTACATAGTGCGATTATTCTTTGGCCACAACCAATACTAGTTCACATAGTGCAATAATTATTTGGCCAGAACCAATACTAGTGCTTATGCATAGTGCGATTATTCTTTGGCCACAACCAATGCTGGTTCACATAGTGCGATTGTTCATTGGCCACAACCAATACTAGTTCACATAGTGCGATTATTCATTGGCCACAACCAATGCTAGTTCACATAGTGCGATTGTTCATTGGCCACAACCAATACTAGTTCACATAGTGCGATTGTTCATTGGCCACAACCAATGCTATAGTTCACATAGTGCGATTGTTCATTGGCCACAACCAATACTAGTTCACATAGTGCGATTATTCATTGGCCACAACCAATGCTGGTTGACATAGTGCGATTATTCATTGGCCACAACCAATACTAGTGCTCATGCATAGTGCAATAATTCTTTGGCCACAACCAACACTAGTTCACATAGTGCGATAATTCTTTGGCCACAACCAATACTTCTTCACGTAGCACGATAATATTCTTCAGCCACGACCAATACTTGTTTATATAACACAATTATTAATTGGCCCCTCCCAATTGCGATTTTCTCATGTGAAACATGCGAGACACTATTAAAACCCGCAGTAAAACAAACGCGTAAACAATTAAATGCCGCTACACGACCCTTATCAGGGTCATTAAAAAGCATAACCAGAAGAAAGACGCGTGTAACTATTTTGATATATACCACGGCATAAGATAACGCAACGTGGCGCTAAGAAAAAACTTAATAAGTGAAGGAAATGTAGGTTTGGCCAAGGTAAAACCTACGGTTTAATAATCGGAAAGCGAGCCAGAACGAGAAGCACAAAGGCCACTAGAGTGATTGCCAGCTTAAATTTAGCAATCAAGGAGATCCCCGAAGCGACATAAACCATGAAAACGACTAACCTGTACAGACTGAGGCTCGGCAATTTGCCGTTCGACATTCGCTACTGCAGGGTTCTCATTTGGAGCCGGGTTAGGTAACTGCGGCGGTAAAACGACTGGTACGACGACAGGTTGAGGTTCAGCCATAAAAGAGCAAAGTTGTACACGTGGAGTCTCGTTTAACAAACTGACCCAGAGTAGGCGTACACTCTGTCTTTTATATCCTATGTTACGCATGGTTGCACTTAGAATAGGTCTTCTGTGTACTTGATCGAAGCTAAACGGCTCTGCACTAATACTACGGCGTGCGCACCTGATGACAAGTTACCTGTGATTATACTTGCAAAAAAACCCTTCAATTAAGATACGCACATGCAATGTATGCTTTAATTTTCGAATATTTTTTATATGCATTTTTAGCTATATATAAATCACGCTATGATTGATCAACACATACTGAAAATCAACGGTAATTACCTAATTGAAACGGTGATTGAGGCTTAATTGAAACGCTTAGCGTCAACATGCCATAAACTCGGCAGGTTTCCTTCATTGGCGTCTTCAGTTATGAATGAGCGTGCTTGTCTTTGTGTTCTTTTTTTAAAGACGAGGGATATAAATTAAATTGCTTTTCAACAGAAAGACCTCAGCCATAACGTTATTCTTTGTGCAAAGTGAAAGTGGTTTAACCAATAACGGTTTAACCAATAGCATATCAGTTTCCAGCAGAGAGATCCCGTAGACTGTAGCCAATTATCAAATTAATCAGCGTTTTTGAAAGGATTTCGTTAAATTATGTAAACATCAAGTTAACTCCGAAACGGCTTCAGATCTTGTTTGCCAATATTTACAAAGCCGGAATTGATTGCCTCTATACTTTCGAACAAAATATTTCTGGTTCGAAAATTCAGTGTAGCTACTTTAAACAACTTGTCAGTATTTCTAACTCCTAAACACATATAATTGTTTCATTACATACACAGCATTCATTTGATTCTAATATTGATAAAATAACAAAGGTGTTTTAAAATTTCACGAAAAATATTTACTTTTCAAATTCCAACCTAATACGTGGGCATGCGTAAATTATTACACATGTAAAATAAAAATGCTCCAGGAAGACTCTTCTCGTTGGTTTCGTGAATAAAAGCGCTTATTATTTTACAATCAAACAAAAAATCTGAAATCTAAGGTGCTGGGGATATATTATAAAATAGCGGTAGAAACCTTGTCACATACGTGGCGTAAATAAATTATTCATTTCCTATAACCGCACCCATTTGTCAAATTAATTGCATGGTTTCATTTTTAAAAACTTTTATGGTATATCAATTGTATTTAAATCAATGCTTTTACTTGCAAAAACCTTATAACTGCATCCAGGATATACGGCGAAGTAAATTAGTTTTGTGATAAAAGATGCAGGCAGGACTAATTGAATCGTTGAGCGTCAACAATAAACTCTGCAAGTTTCCTTTATTGGCGTCCTCAGTTAAGAATGGGCATGCTTGTAATCTTCCGGTGTTTTTCTTAGAAGACGAGGGATATAAATAAATTGATTTTCAAAAGAAAGATCTCAGCCATAACGTTACTATTGTGAGCAAAGTGATAGTGTTTCTGTTTCACCAATAGCATATCAGTTTCCAGCAGGGAAATGCTGTAATTATCAAATTAATAAACGTTTTTAGACAAAACTTAGGGATTTCGTTCAATTAAACATAAGGTCGACTATCAAACGGCTTCAGATTATATAGCACGCGATGAAAAGCTCTTGCATGGTATTACTGGTATAGATAAGAAATCTTTAATCTTTAAAATATTCATACACGGAAACTATTCAGCTAAAAAGCTGGTTTTCAATATGGACCGAGTGACAAACTTATTGGCGTTCAGCGGCTCATTCGACTTCCTGCATCTTTGTGCTTCACATCAACTGCGGGTGAGGCTATAGCTGTTTTCTGGCATACGACACGTTACGTTAACAAAAAGTGCATGTAATAATAGTGCGTTTTATTATGTGTTCTCAAATATTTGTGAATCTATATACGCTTTCTATAAGAGTACTCAATCGAAGCTAAACAACACAGCACCCATATTCCGTGCACTCGATCAAAACTAAACGTATATGTACGCGCATAGGTCTTCTGTGTAGCTACTTGATCGAAGCTAAACGGTTCTGCACTAATACTACGGCGTGCGTGCCTGATGACGGATTACCTGTGATTATATTTGCAAAAAAACCCTTCAAGATACGCACATGCAATGTATGCTTTAATTTTCGAATATTTTTAATGCATTTTTAGCTATATATAAATCATGCTATGATTGATCAACATATACTGAAAATCAACGGTATATTTACCTACATATTAGTTGTTTCCTTCTTGAGTAATATCAGGCATACGTACGGCGGCGTAAATTATTTTACTAATAAAAATTGAACAGCTATAGACTTTATGAAAAACACTCAGAGCGAGATGTTACAAAAGGCAGGCTTAATTGAAACGCTTAGCGTGAACAATAAACTCTGCAAGTTTCCTTCATTGGCGTCTTCAGTTATGAATGAGCGTGCTTGTCTTTGTGCTCTTTTTTTAAAGACGAGGGATATAAATTAAATTGCTTTTCAACAGAAACACCTCAGCCATAACGTTATTCTTTGTGCAAAGTGAAAGTGGTTTAACCAATAACGGTTTAACCAATAGCATATCAGTTTCCAGCAGAGAGATCCCGTAGACTGTAGCCAATTATCAAATTAATCAGCGTTTTTGAAAGGATTTCGTTAAATTATGTAAACATCAAGTTAACTCCGACACGGCTTCAGATCTTGTTTGCCAATATTTACGAAGCCGGAATTGATTGCCTCTATACTTTCGAACAAAATATTTCTGGTTCGAAAATTCAGTGTAGCTACTTTAAACAACTTCAATGGCGTAGCCAGCCTGACAATTTAGTCATGCTATGCTAACATTTTGGTGTTCATTCACTGTGAAATCAATGAATTTCTAAAGAAATGAATAATGGTAATAACAGAAAATTTGCATAGCATGACTAAATCGTCAGGCTGGCTACGCCACTGAACAACTTGTCAGTATTTCTAACTCCTAAACACATATAATTATAATTGTTTCATTACATACACAGCATTCATTTGATTCTAATATTGATAAAATAACCAAGGTGTTTTAAAATTTCACGAAAAATATTTACTTTTCAAATTCCAACCTAATACGTGGGCATGCGTAAATTATTACACATGTAAAATAAAAATGCTCCAGGAAGACTCTTCTCGTTGGTTTCGTGAATATATATAAAAGCGCTTATTATTTTACAATCAAACAAAAAATCTGAAATCTAAGGTGCTGGGGATATAACAATTATTAAATAGCGGTAGAAACCTTGTCACATACGTGGCATAAATAAATTATTCATTTCCTATAACCGCACCCATTTGTCAAATTAATTGTATGGTTTCATTTTTAAAAACTTTTATGGTATATCAATTGTATTTAAATCAATCCTTTTACTTGCAAAAAACCTTATAATTGCACCCATGCAGGTATATACGGCGAAGTAAATTATTTCTATGATAATAAAAGTTGAACAGCTAGACTTTACGAAAACACTCGGAGCGAGATGTTAGGATTAATTGAATCGCTGAGTGTCAACAATAAACTATGCAGGTTTCCTTTATTGGCGTCCTCAGTTAGGAATGCAAGAAGACGAGGGATATAAATAAATTGATTTTCGAAAGAAAGATCTCAGCCATAACGTTACTATTGTGAGCAAAGTGATAGTGTTTCTGTTTCGCCAATAGCATATCAGTTTCCAGCAGGGAAATGCTGTAATTATCAAATTAATAAACGTTTTTAGACAAAACTTAGGGATTTCGTTCAATTAAACAAAAATCTATCAAACGGCTTTAGATTATATAGCACGCGATAAAAAGCTCGTGCATGGTATTACTGGTATATATAAGAAATCTTTAATCTTTAAAATATTTATACACAGAAACTATTCAGCTAAAAAGCTGGTTTTCAAAGGACCGTTTGACAAACTTATTGGCGTTCAGCGGCTCATTCGACTTCCTGCATCTTTGTGCTTCACATCAACTGCGGGTGAGGCTATAGCTGTTTTCTGGCATACGGCACGTTACGTTAACATAAAGTGCATGTAATAATAGTGCCGTTTTATTATGTGTTCTCAAATATTTGTGAATCTATATACGCTTTCTATAAGAGTACTCAATCGAAGCAAAACAACACCGCACCCATATTCCGTGCACTTGATCAAAACTAAACGTATATGTACGCATAGGTCTTCTGTGTACTTGATCGAAGCTAAACGGTTCTGCACTAAAACCTTCAAGATACGCACATGCAATGTATGCTTTAATTTTCGAAATTTTTTTATATGCATTTTTAGCTATATATAAATCATGCTATGATTGATCAACATATACTGAAAATCAACGGTATATTTACCTACATATTAGTTGTTTCCTTCTTGAGTAATATCAGGCATACGTACGGCGGCGTAAATTATTTTACTAATAAAAATTGAACAGCTATAGACTTTATGAAAAACACTCAGAGCGAGATGTTACAAAAGGCAGGCTTAATTGAAACGCTTAGCGCGTCAACAATAAACTCTGCAAGTTTCCTTCATTGGCGTCTTCAGTTATGAATGAGCGTGCTTGTCTTTGTGCTCTTTTTTTAAAGACGAGGGATATAAATTAAATTGCTTTTCAACAGAAACACCTCAGCCATAACGTTATTCTTTGTGCAAAGTGGAAGTGGTTTAACCAATAACGGTTTAACCAATAGCATATCAGTTTCCAGCAGAGAGATCCCGTAGACTGTAGCCAATTATCAAATTAATCAGCGTTTTTGAAAGGATTTCGTTAAATTATGTAAACATCAAGTTAACTCCGAAACGGCTTCAGATCTTGTTTGCCAATATTTACGAAGCCGGAATTGATTGCCTCTATACTTTCGAACAAAATATTTCTGGTTCGAAAATTCAGTGTAGCTACTTTAAACAACTTGTCAGTATTTCTAACTCCTAAACACATATAATTGTTTCATTACATACACAGCATTCATTTGATTCTAATATTGATAAAATAACCAAGGTGTTTTAAAATTTCACGAAAAATATTTACTTTTGAAATTCCAAGCTAATACGTGGGCATGCGTAAATTATTACACATGTAAAATAAAAATGCTCCAGGAAGACTCTTCTCGTTGGTTTCGTGAATAAAAGCGTTTATTATTTTACAACCAAACGAAAAATCTGAAATCTAAGGTGCTACATGGGGATATAACAATTATTAAATAGCGGTAGAAACCTTGTTACATACGTGGCATAAATAAATTATTCATTTCCTATAACCGCACCCATTTGTCAAATTAATTGTATGGTTTCATTTTTAAAAACTTTTATGGTATATCAATTGTATTTAAATCCATCCTTTTACTTGCAAAAAACCTTATAATTGCACCCATGCAGGTATACGGCGAAGTAAATTATATCTATGATAATAAAAGTTGAGCAGCTAGACTTTACGAAAACACTCGGAGCGAGATGTTAGGATTAATTGAATCGCTGAGTGTCAACAATAAACTATGCAGGTTTCCTTTATTGGCGTCCTCAGTTAGGAATGCAAGAAGACGAGGGATATAAATAAATTGATTTTCAAAAGAAAGATCTCAGCCATAACGTTACTATTTTGAGCAAAGTGATAGTGTTTCTGTTTCGCCAATAGCATATCAGTTTCCAGCAGGGAAATGCTGTAATTATCAAATTAATAAACGTTTTTAGACAAAACTTAGGGATTTCGTTCAATTAAACATAAGGTCGACTATCAAACGGCTTCAGATTATATAGCACGCGATAAAAAGCTCGTGCATGGTATTACTGGTATATATAAGAAATCTTTAATCTTTAAAATATTTATACACGGAAACTATTCAGCTAAAAAGCTGGTTTTCAAAGGACCGTTTGACAAACTTATTGGCGTTCAGCGGCTCATTCGACTTCCTGCATCTTTGTGCTTCACATCAACTGCGGGTGAGGCTATAGCTGTTTTCAGGCATACGGCACGTTAGGTTAGCAAAAAGTGTAATAATAGTGCGCATAGATCTTTTGTGTACTCGATCGAAATTAATCCGTGTGATCGTCTGCGATATAAAAGGTAAAGCAACTATATGAATAAGCCATTAGCCAATGAAATACGCAAGTTCTAAGGCAGCAAGGTTGTGTAGACACAAGCAGGTAATTACCTTTTTCTCTACGAATTTTCTCGTTAAACAATATCAGACGAACAACGAAGGAAGATCTTTGACAACTCCGCCAACTCGTAACTCGGCGACGAATGTAGCTGCCCCTGCCTCGCGTCTGTTTTTGTTTTTGAAGACGAACTGCTGTATGCGATTTCTTGCTTTAGCATATATATTAATATAAGTCTGTGGTCTCATTGTCATTGAGTGAATTTGCCAAAGAATTAGAATTCCCTGACCTCTCCATCGAAACAAAAAAACACACGAAATTTGTCTTGAAATCTGACCAGAAGTTATAGGAACTGGTGAATTTGTAGATCTTGACGTTAACATTAATAGCTACATAGTGAAATACACTTTGTTATGGTCCATCGGAGATTAATTTTACAGATGAAAAACAACTTTCGAAGGCTTGAGGTTGGTCTGTTAATCAGTTAAAGGAACGCGCATCTCATAAGAGTCGGCATAACTTTCTTAAATTGGAAACTAATGCTTGAATCAATATTTAAATAAATTATCTGCAGCTGAGAACGGATTTGAAAATTTTCCATCTTTGAAGGATTGTTAAACATTGTAGTAGGCCATGCCCGTCCTCGGATAGAATTGCTACCAGGGACTTGAGACTTGACTAGCAGGTGGCAGTGCACCGATGAAGGAAATGCATAAACCCGCCGCACACGTGAGCTATTAGGGACCTTAAGATTGACGTTTACGGCACACGGCTAACCGCAAACTGAAATTTCAAATCATATTTTTAGGCCAACTGTTAGCTGTTCGAAGTTTGGGCAATTGGTCTATGAAAACTGAAAAATTGAAAAATTGCGGTTAGCCGTGCCGTAAACGCCAATCTTAAGGTTACTCTTGTGTGCGGATAGTTTTTCGTCAAGAGGCAAGTTTCTCACGTGTGTGGATGGTTTTCGGGCTGAGCTAACTGCCTCGCGAGGTCGTTAACTCAGCTGATAGCTCTCGTGTGCGGCGGGCTTTAATGTTTTACAACTTCCTAACTGAATTGAGGAACTAAAATTGTATTAATATTAAATCACCTGTTTCACAGCTGGAAATATTTTACCCATGCAAAGGATGGATTCCACTATTCAATAAGAATATAAATATGACATGAAGTCCCTATGTTTCTTTTTTATGAAATGGCACGTTATTGCATGACACCCACGTCAAGCGACATTATTATTATCGATATTGTTTCATTCATACGGTTAACAAATGCTAAAACTGAGTTGTTTTATTAAGTGTTCATTTATTTGGCATGCAAAAATAGTCTCTTTA